AAAATCTTTAATTACTAGGAGCATGATACTCATAATCTTTAATTTTAGATAATGTAACTTAATTTCAATTTTCAAAATAAAAAAAAAATTGTTATCATGTACATTTCCTTGAACAAGGTCTAACAATTTGAAATGATCCTTATTACAGGAATCTTTGCCAAGGTGAAGGATACGGCAGACACTTTAGGCCAGAAGCTGCAAGCTGGAGCAGACGCCCATGGATTTCAACCAATAAACCCAAATATTCCCAGCCCCAGTCCATCGAGAAAACAGTCTTTATCTGGTTCCCCACTCGGTTCTCCTGGACCCAGTCAGCGGAAAAAGAGACCAGAGCCTCTTAACCTCAAAGCTACTAATTTAACAATGGAAATAGCTCAGTTATTTATGTCAATGTTACATGCATGGGGACTCGATCCAGATTTGGACAAACTGTGTTTAAATAAACTAGGTTTGTTAAAGCCTAAGTCGCCAATTTCATTTGGACTGATATCACGTGAAGGGCATATGTCTCTGATGTTACCTGGTTGGCATAAAGGTGTGTGTTCAAAAAGTGATTCAACAGTTACCATGGGAACAACCAATCAAAGGGCAACACTGAGACAGCAGAGAAGGTCAGAGGTAAGGGAAATGATTTTGTTGACATTTGTTGATTTGAGTTTACTTGTGTTTGTTACCTAAATTAATAGGCTACTTGTAGGTGTGTTGTCAAAATAAAGTCTGAAGTGGAAAGTATTATACAGGGTAGTTTTCCACCCTAAAAGGAATAAACGTTTTAAGAAGGAAGCTATCTAACTATCTTTCAGACCATTTGTTGTTTTACTATGCTCTCTGCATGAAATTGTTGGCAAGTGCTACATTCTGCTATCTTTATCAGCAAAGCTGTAAAATTGTTTTTTTTATATTCAAATATACCAGTTAATAGTTGAATTCTTCATTCATAGTTTTCTAAATAAAAATTTGATTTTTTTAAATTTCCAACAAGGTTTTCTGAATTTCTTGTTAAAGATGACACCAGGTAGTGAGTTAGACCTGATGAGTTTTTCTAGTCAAGGAGAAGAGGGATCATCACAACAAGTTGACATTCAGGCCGAGATAGAGAAGGAGATATGTATGTTTACAAAGAAGGCAAGATGGCAGATTTCCAGTGCTGTTACCACCCAGCATCTACTCAGTGTCATCTCTGTAGCCAATACATTGATGAGTATGAATCATGCTACCTTTAAGTCACCTAAACCTGTACAAAGACAAAGAAGGTAAAATATATAGATTCTAGAATAGGGAAACTTAATTCCTGATATATTGCTTTTTTTATCAAGATTCTAGAATCAGGGAAACTTAAGTCTTAAAATATTGTATTTTGATCTTCCCTCATTATCTCCATTTTCCACTTCAGCTGACTTTGTTTTATTTGATGATTTTACTTTGATATTTATGTATACTAAGACTTAAGCGGTCAGTTAACTGCATGAGAAGTTGACATTAAAAGAAATGTCTTGTTTGATTGATCTTTGCTTATATTTGTTATTGGACAATCAGTTTATTCACATCTCATTCTTAGGTGTAGGAAATAGAATAACTTAATATCCTTTTACCCTTGACATGCTTTAATTGAATTTGTCCATCTTTCAATCTGAACAAAACCTTTCATCAATTTTTGGGAATATTTTGACTGAAAAGCAAACAGTGCCGACCATGATCAGACAGCACGAATGCGCGGGGCTGATCTTGGTCTGTACTTGTTGCTTTGGTAGATTCTGTTGTCATCTGACTAAAGGCTAATTAGGATTAATTCTCAATAAAGGACTAGTTTAAGATTAAAACTATTCTTTAGTTTTCTTTATATTTTCAATAAAAAAAAATAGCCTTTATTTCCAGAGGTTAATTCTTAAGGTAGCAAATATATTGTAAGTTTTCTGTATATTTTAGAATATTGTTTGATTTGCAGTAGAAAATCATTCCAAGGTGTGCACGGTATTCTAGTGAGTGAGGGGGACAACAGTTCTGCTGGTAGTGATGATGATACAGGAGATGCTGCTATACTACAACAGGCCCAGTTTAAACAAGGTTGGAGTCTGTTAGCAGCACATCATTGTGTATTGCTGCCTGAACTCGTGGATTCTGGCCAGTATTTCTCCCCACAGCTTGAAATGCTGGCACGAAGATGGCAAGATAGATGCTTAGAGGTTTGTGACCTTTTCTAAAGTTTCTCTTGGCTTCTGATGTTTAAAAGACTAAAATGATTAAAAGCCAGGGTCTGAGGTATAAAGAAACTTTCTGAGCTTAAACTCCGATTTGAAGTATTTAATTGATCAGAAACTAGCTCAGAATGTGCATTCAATTAAAATCCTGTAATCAGAAAAAACAGTCTGATAGGCCAGACCTAGAGGTTCAACCGTTGTAAAACATTTTTCATGAGTTCTGTCTTGACTCCCAGCATATTCATACTATGCCAGTTTCTGACCAATCAAATGCCTGGAATCTGAATTCAAGCATAGAAAATTTCTTTATATCTCAGATCTTAGCTATCTTAAAGTGATGAAAAAGCAACTTGAAACTTGCTTAATTTTGAATTCTTTAGAAAACAAGATTTAGAACATCATCTCAATTTAAAGTTACAAAAACTGATAAGATGCCTTTGAATAAAAAATTTCAGTGATGTGACAATGATATTACAGATAAGATCATTCACTGATTCTATATATAGTAACATCAAGTGATAGTCTTTTTAAACACCAATCTGATTAAAATCAGTTCTAAATAACGCTACACAATTAGAAATAGGTATATCTGAACTTAAGTCAGATTGTTAAAACACATTACATTGAAAGCAATCTTACTGATTGATCTTTTCTCTAAAATATTTCAGATAAATTACCTAACAATATTTGTTAACAGTATTAATCAGAATATATTCCTCTATTTTCTTACAATTAAATATCACATTCTCTGTATATCATCATATCAATATAAAAACTATACTCATAGATAAGAGAAGCGGCACAGGCACTGCTGTTAGCAGAATTACGTAGAATAGGTCCCGATGGCAGAAAATCTGTCGTAGATGATTGGTCACCATTCCTTCCCACGTACGTGGACCCCCAGCTGAGTATTTTAAGTACAGATAGTCATTCTAGTCATGGTGAGGACGAAGATGAAGACGATACTGAACAATATTTAGGAGGTGAGTTTAATGTATGTATTATGTGCAGATATTGAGTAGTCAATAAAATGATAGGGCTGTCATTGATTGAAAATTTTGTATTGATATCATATATATATCGAAAGCTGGATATTGACGATATATTGAAGTCGAAAGCTTGTTCATTTGAATATATGTTTTAAAGTGTTATCATGGTGTATGCAAGCATGTTTTATACCTCACTAGTTACCAAAAAGCAACAAACGAAAGAAAAGGTTCAGGCAATAAGTGAATAAGTAACTTTTCAGAAATATTTAAAGTAAACCAAAAACAAAAAGCTTTTAAGACATTGCTGATTTCTGGGGCATAATGGGCCTTTAATCATGACTATGATCATTATATGGAACAAAATGTTTCAAATTTTGTTTTCTATGATTTTAAAGGAGATTCACCATTACACAAACCATCAAGGTCATTTGAAAGTCGTAGGAAGCAGGCCACAGCCATTGTCATGTTAGCAGTTCTAGGAGCAGAGTTTGGTCATGAAGTTTTACCTACTAGACGTGGACTAGATGATGGCAAGCCAAAAAAGAAAGGATTAGAGGGTTTCACACTGTCAAATTATTCTTTGGCTCATCATACAAGTAAGATTATCTCTTCTAATATTTTTCTTACAACATAGTTATATAAAAAGTATTATGTTATTTGTTATAAACAGTGTCCATGTTGCACATATATCAATGGAAACATGGATTTTTTATATAGACTATTCGAAGAATAGGGAGAAGTATTGTATTCACCCTGGGATCAGTGTCACAATCACAGTCACACTTTTGTTAAGTTTTTGTTTGCAAGTTTGTAACTCCAAAACTAATGAAAGGGACAGGTTGAAACTTCACACACTTATTTTGAGAGCATAGCAGGAGGTCACTGTTCAAGGCCCATAACTGAAACATGGATTTTGACTGAATTTTGGCCCTTTTTTAACTTTGAATTTCTATGTTATCCATGCTATTTTACTCTAAAGCACTGAGAATAGTCGAGCACGCTGTCCAACTGACAACTTGTGTTTTTATTCTAAGCTCATTTACAGCAAATACTTATTTGTTCAGTGACATTTCTTTGACAAAGAAACAAGGTTCATTAATGCTAGATGAATAATAACAATGTTGTTGGTAACTGCCCTTGTTAAAATTTCATGCACAGAAGGGCATCTGATGCTTTTCTTTTAGTAAAGAAAGTGAAATTAGATAATTTCTGTGGCTCAGATAAAGAAAGGTTACCCTGGTCAAACTGACAAAATCAAATATTTTTTATCCAAATAGGCAAGGCTTTAACATTCTTGTTGCAACACCCACCATCTAAGAAGCTACCAGCCCACACACCAATTAGGAGGGCAGCGATTGATTTGATTGGTCGAGGATTTCCTGTGTGGGAGCCATACTTAGATGTCTCGGCAATTTTACTTGGTCTCCTGGAATTGTGTATAGGGTCTGAAAGACTTGTTCCCAGGTAAAATAACATGACTGTATATCTAGCCAGTTTATCATGATTGTGTCAATAAATTAAGATAATGAAGCTTAATTGAATTTGTTATTATTTAAGATCAATATTTAATATACATACACATGCATAAACTTTCAATTAGGTCTTTCGTCCATAATGTTTAATATTACAAATGTATTTTTATATGTATGTAGTTTGTATCCTTTAATATGAGAAACGTTATTAGAATGATAGTATTTAAAGTTAAAATACATTTTTACCTTTGGTTCCTTATTTTAACTTAAAAAAACCTTTGGGTTCCTTAACGAACAATATATCTCTCTTACGAAAATAAGCCAATTAAGATATAGTAATAAGTTTAGCTTAAATGATTTCAGTGTAACATTTGGATTACCTTTGAGTCCTGCAGCAGACGCCTGTAGAACTGCCAGACATGCTCTGTCTCTTATTGCAACAGCTCGGCCTGCGACCTTTATAATAACCATGGCAAGGGAGGTCACTAGGTCAGTATGTCTTTCTTTTGTATCAAGTGAGAATGTGATTAACAAGTAAAGTGCATTACAACCATTTCTGTAAATTCTTTAATTAATTATATTTCCTTTCGTGTATTGTCTCAAAATAGAATTATCAAATTTAAGAATTTTATATGTAGTTAAGTATTCTGTATTTTTGTTTCATATATTTTAGACATAACCATGCCTTGACACAAAACACCCAGTCACAGCTTCATTCCAATCCACATAACTCTGTATTAGTGAAATCAAAACCTGAGATAATCAGAGTTGTAGAACTTCTTGTTGATAAGATGCCGTCAGATGTTGCTGACCAGATTGTGGAGGTAATAATAATGCCTACAGTACAGTACACTTTGTATAATGATGTTTTTGTTTGTGAGAATTTTAGTTCATTTGTGTAAATTGTTTTGTTTGGTTGTAGGTTTAACTTGTAACTTGTTAGTTATGACACTTTAAAGGTCATAGGGTAATGTTCTAGCTTTAACTGGTGGATACTTGTGGAGAAAGACTTCAATGTTAAATGCCCAGCTGTGCATTATGTCAAACCAAAATGGGCACTCAAGTAGAGCCTTAATATTCTGTAGCATCCACATATGAAAGAATTCACAGTCAGACAGGATTTGAACTCGCATATGTGTAGTAATCTAACCATTTAGGCATTTCTCTGAAAGCCATCAAGTTTTTATCTTGTTATGACACTGTCTTAAATTGGTTCATGACAAGTATCATGTGTGAGATGATAGTATGTTATACGATGTATATTTTATGAACTTTCAGGCTATGGAGATTATTATTCACTGTTTAGATGTTAGTCAGCTGAAAGCAAAAGGGTTACAAGAATTATTTCCAGCAATTTGCAGGTATATACTTTATATGTTATATAGTTTACAATGTTGTTTATTATTCTTATAAAAGTTTAATTTATTAACTCTATTAATCTTTTTATCAATTAATTTGTTATAAATGAAATACATGTATTGTCATTACTTGATATAATTAATAGTGTCTAGAATCGCTAGCTTTTTAGGGTAAATCTCATCAGAAACTGCTATCTAGAATAATGGCAGCTATAAGGGATGACTTCAAGTATGTTATATATTTTGTTCTATTAATAGATTCAGTATGGTAACATGCTGTACACAGACTAAGCGGATATGGGTAGGAGCCAAAAATGGAACATTGGCATTTTACGAGCTGAAACAGAATTCCAAATGTCAAGTTATACAAGCACACGCTGGGCCAGTTATTGCGGCCTCTGTGTCTCCCGATGGGAAATTCCTCGCTACATTCTCACACCAGGACCAAAAATTGAAGTTCTGGCAGGTGAGTGTTGTTATATAATTCAGACATTTCAAGTGTCATAGGTGAAGACTGGGTTATGATTTTGATTCATGTACCCTGAGCAAAATAGCGAAAATCTAGTGTCACTTAAACATCTCTTCTAGATTATAATATTATAAACTTTTCAATCAGTGTTCTTGTTTTGATCATGGACTGTAATTAAAGTTCGCCTTTTGATTTGTAACTGAAATATACCTGCAGACATATATTTCATGGATAAAATTTTCAAATCGCAACATATTTTGAAATCAAAATTTATGAGTTCTGAAATTGAATATTACATCAATACATGTAAAAAAATTGAAACACGGACAAAGTTATATAAGTTGTCATGATTCCGACTTGTTCTTATTAATGTTAGATCTGTTTCAAAGTTAAATGTCCAAAATATTTTTTTAAGATAGACTTTTATAATAATACTGGTATAAAACTAGCTTGAAAAATGACTGGCCTATATTTTTTTGATGGTATAATAGAGTGAGAAAGATGTCGTTTTAAAGTGTGTCTCCTCTTCATGCTGGATTACTCATTACTTCACTTTAATTGATCTATTTCAATTTGACGTTTGTGTGTATATGTTGTGTATATATTAACTGTTAATATATTGTAATTATGTTGTGTACATCAGCTGAGGCCCACATAGAAGATAGGGAAACTGCATGTGCAAGCCTCTTAAAATAAAGGCGTTACTTACTTAGTGTTGCTATTTTTAACATTTCAGACAGCATCATCGTCATTGTTTGGAATTGGTTCCCAGCATACAAAATGTGTACGTCAGATAGCTACACAACCAATCACTGTGAGCCCACATACCAATCTATTGAAGCTTGTTAGGCTGGTGTGGACAGATGTACGTGTCCTTATTCTCTTGACAGTCGATGGTACAGAACATAAATATTATGTGTAATTTCTGAAGTTAACTACACAAGAGCATACATATGCGTAATTTCTGAAGATAACTACACAATAGTTTACATATGTGTAATTTAAGAAGTTAACTACACAAGAGCATTGATTTACATATAATTAGTTCTAATCAAATACACAGAACAAAGTAGTAGTTTGTGTCAACTTTTAAGATAAGTGTGTTAAAATATTGTGCAATCACTATGACAACAGCATAAATTTGAAGTGTTCATATAGCCAGCAGTTTATAAAATATGTGTATGCAGGAGGTAATTTGAAATAAAAAAGAAACTCTTTATTAAAATAATGAAAAATCTAGTCATTCACAAAGGCACATGTCAACCAAAAGGAACATAATTATATGAATACCTGTGTCAAGTTAACACTTCTGCAGTTTTACAACAGAACAGCATATAAGTGGTATAATTTTTTTATTTTTTTTTTAGTCCCCTACCGGTTTAACCGGAGGGGACTTTAGGTTTACCCTCCGTCCGTCTGTCCGTCCGTCCACAAAACTGGATCCCGCGATAACGCAAAAAGTACTGAAAATATTTTTATGAAACTCGATATATGGATAGATGGCAGTATGGAGATTATGCACGTCTTTTTTTTTTCTTCCTATGTTGAAAATTCTGGTTGCTATGGCAACAAATAGTCTGAAAATATGGCAAATTTAACACATAAACTGGATCCAGTGATAACTCAAAAAGTACTGAAAATATTTTTATGAAACTTGAAATATTGGTAGATGGCAGTCTGGAGATTATGCACATCTTTTTCTTTTCTTCCTATGTTGAAAATTCTGGTTGCTATGGCAACAAATATCCTGAATTTCAAGATTTCTGATTTAAATTTTTCAGCTTTTTCACTATATGTTCTTTATTTCTTAAGGTGTTTACTTCAAACTTTAAATATAAGTTTCTGCTCATCAACCACATCATATTTGACAAGGTTTATAACTCTAGCACAAAAAATATCAGTATTACCTCCCTTGAACTTAGATTTTTTAGGGGAAAAAATGTTGTCTTTTTTAAATAACTTCTTTATTTCCTAATGTATCTACTTCAAACTTCATATATATGTTTCTTATTATCACTCGACATTTTTGAGAAGGTTAAATATTCTAGCAAGACTATTTCCAGAATTATGTCCCCCTTGAACTTTTTCGAGAAACTGGTATTTTCACTTCAACTTCTTCATTCCTTATAGGATTTACTTTAAAATCCCACATCGTAATAATATGACAAGGTTGTATAAACATAATTTCCTTACTAAGCATGGAAACTTAACACATTACTGTGATATAGACAAACTTATTTTATTATGTTTTGTGGTTGATATTTTCAAATACAGACTTCATCCTCAAATTCATTATAAATGGCAATACACAGGAGTGTATGACAATTAAAGAACTTTTTGAGGGACCGGTAGGGGACTACTGTATTGCCCGCAATACTATCAAATGCTTGTTCATCCTTGGTTTTCTCGTGATGATGATAGATCTTTGTTACCAGCATATACTATATAGAACAGACTTGTCACCACACAAGTGAAGCCTGACTAGAACCTTTTGTTAAAACTGCTAAATTGTTGTATTTTGATATTGCAAATACTGTTCGACATTTTTAACTCGACAAATGTATGAATGGATAAGCATTTTAATCAGTTTTTTTTTACTCTTGCAAATTACACACTTTATTATTTATTGGGTACCAGAAAGTATGAATGATAATTTGTTATTATACAGATGCTTAATTTATTACAGACACCAGTTGTCTTGTACTTGCTTATATTTCCATTTGTAAATGTCTCAATTGTTTCTAATTGTGATATATTGTAAGAATGTAGTAATGTTTTTTATTGTGTTTTAGATAAACTTAGCAATGTGTTGTAAATTAACTGTTATTCTTAATTTAATCAAATGAGCAAACTGTTTTATTATTTATTGATATTAAAGATAAAATAATGCTCTTGAGTTTAGATAATAAATATTTATTGTTAATTATTCAGTTGATGATAGAATATTTTATTTGTTAATGCAATAAAATTAATTACAATCTGACTTTTGTTGTATTTTTTCATAAAATCCAAGTCCTGTTCACTGTTTACTTCAAAATGCTTACATAATTATGCTCAGCCAAAAAAACATACCTAGAGCCGATAGGAAATACAGACTGTATATTTAATTATTCATAGAAACATTTCAAAATAAAATTTAACAAATTTGAATGAATAATTTGTTGTTCCTTTTTCACAAGTAGAAATTTTATAACATTTTTTTTTTTTTGGGGGGGGGGGGGGGCGCGTGGGATTATTTTTAACTTGACTGGTCATTTCCAACAGATTTTAGCCCAGGAAACTCAACATAGGAGAAAGAAATGTTTTCACTTGAAATGTTATGAAGGCCATATAGTATAGTATAAAGCATTGCCATACATAATGTAATAATATAACGAGCTTCTTTAGACATTGCATGGTCATACCTCACTGGTGTCAAGTATAAACCTTCTAAAGTGCAAAATAAATTCAAACATTGGGTATCCGTGGATGAGTGGTAAAGGTGATTGACTTTAAACCGCTTGCTCCTTCTTTCATGAGACTTGATTCTTTCATGTGAGGAAGCTATCCAGCTAGCTTATGGAACGTGAAAGAATGCATGAAAGGGTACCAGAGGTCTTCCCCCATCAGTAAAGCTGGAAAGTCACTGTATGACTGTGACTTAAAATGCAACAAAACAAACAAAACATTCAGACCTGGCTTATATAGTCACAAATATGCAAATCAATGCCCAGTATGATCATCAAGGTTGAAATGAAAACTATTGAACACTTTTCATGTAATTAATAAAATTACATGTATCAGTAATGCTTTATACGAAGCTGCATCAATATGACTGACCCTTGTTAATGCTTTAGTAGTGACCAAAAACTTGTTTATTTAACCTATGAAATATTGCAACACCATTTATGCTTATATGATTTCCACTTCTGCATGTTTTACAATCATAACCTTTTAACACTTGGAAAAAACATAGAAAAGCACCCATTTGTATCCGATAAAATTTATTAATTGCTAATAACCATAACACATAATTGTTTCAACTAAATGATTCTTGGCACATCTCTTTGGCTAATTTCTCTAATTTTTTCTCGGACAATGACATATCTTCTGAATCACAATATTCTTTGGCTTTTTTCAGCCAGTAGTCTTTAGTTCTTTCAAAATAATCTTTAATTGCTTCAGAAGCTGGTCTCTCTGGGGCATCACTAAAATCTATATCAATTTCATCATCGTCGTCGTCATCATCAGACTCTGAAAGAATGGAAATATATTTTATGTATCAATTATACAATTAGACTAGTTTAAACATATTTTATTCCAGAATGTATACAATACATGATATACAGATTCAGCTTTATTATATACCACAGATAGAAATGGATTAGAATGAAAGATATCAAATCTTTTAAATAAAAGTTTTCTTCTCCAATGCACAGTATCGGAAGTGAATTTGACAGGCCATTGCAAACAATGCAGTCAAGTCTATTAGTGCATCAGATATGTATAGTACTGCACCCTGTTCAATTTTCTTACTTTCATTTTTACAGGCCTAAGATAAACATGCCTTTATTTCATATCTGAAGCAGGACAAGCACAAAAAATTGCCTGCTCAAGAAAGAATATACTTTCTGATCAGTATCCATGCTGTTCGCTATCAGTTTCTCTACTTGTTATAGGGTTTGTAAGCCTACAGCATGGGTCCTGATCAGACTGAGCGAATGCGCAGGCTGGTCTGGATCCATGCTGGTCACAAACCCACTATGTTGGTTTTGTCATGACGCATCTCAATTATTATGATTCTCAGCAGGATTAGTTCATTGATTTTTCAAAAATTAAGAAAACTTTAAACTAATTTTCTCTGCATCTTATATCTAACTGTACATGTAAGTACATAATTTTTTTTAAAATAAAAAACAATAATTCCGTACCATCAGAATCGCTAGGTTTGCGTTTCGCACATTTAGCCCCGCCTTCCATATCGTCCTCATCTGATGAAGAATCAGACTCCTCCCACACCTATCAATATAAACCACACATGTATGTACATATATCAAGACTGGTTATTTCTTATACATTGGAGAGCAGGTTCATGCTCAAACCAGAATAAGTAATAATTTTTGGTGGTTATTTTTATACTTCATTCCCATACAGATGCTTTTTACTTGCATCTTTAAGGACATAGCAGCTGTTTCTTCAGGAATAGAGAAGTATGTATGATTCTCTAAAAAGACAAAGAGAAGCTACAAATATGCAAAAATACTTTTTGATTTGTTTAAAAAACCTGTACAAAAGCCAGAGTAATTATCAAAAAGGATGTAACAAATACATTAAAGTGGTATTATTGTCATCAAAATATATATGGTGTCAAGTAGACATTAAAATAATATAACACTCTAACATCTTTTGAAATATATGTATATTACTAATTCAGTTCAACCTGACATCAGGAAATAAGCAATATGTCACTTTACTGTAATAAAATTTAAAATTAAATTCATAATGTACCTGATTTTTCAAGTCACTTTCAATCAAAATAGTCCACTCCTCCATTTTGTTGATGTCCAAAGAATACATGTCACTTAAAGTATACTGTTTATCGCCAACCTCATAAATACCACCATATAAAAACAACAGACCATTCTTCACAACTAACAGTGTATTCATACGTGCTGATGGTGTGAATACATTAACAGGTTCTGTTGTTTTAACCTTATCACAAGTTTCATCTGACAAACTACTCTGTGGACCAACTGTCAGTTTAAAAACAGATTCCTCGGTCTCCATGGTGTTTTCAGATTCAGTTTCCATAGTAACTGAGGAAGCACCTTGAGTACTTCCTGAAGCAGAATCTATATCCATGTCAGGTTTTGCTCCACCATTTGTTTCACTACTTTTATTATTGTCATCAGTTTCAAAGTTAATTGACATCTTTTCTATATCTGTATCAGCAACATCCATCTCTTGTTCATTATCATCACTATTATCATCATCATCATCATCATCATCAGTTTCATCGTTGTCATCAACATCGTCAACCCCGGCACCTGCAGAATCTTCATCCTTTTTTCTTCTTCTCTTCTTCTTTTCTGTTAACTTCTTGCCCCTTTAAATGACAAAAAGATTCATCTAAAGTCCCACAGAATTTTTTTTTCAGATCTCTTAACCTCCTTACTATTTTCCAATAGTTTCTTACTATTTTCCAATAGTAAAGCATTTGGCTTGATACAGGTTTACAGAAAATTTCATAAAACAGTAAAGGCAGAATTAATACTGTAGTGTCATTAAAACAGTTTTTAAGCTGTTGACTCCTAGCTTATACTTATAAATGTCATATATTTATTTTGAATATTTTTGCCATATTTACCTCATTTCTCCTTCAAACCATTTGCCTTTATCTAGTTCCAGGAAGTACAGTGTATTGTAGAATTTTCCCTTAAGCTCATCATCATTATCCTCCTATATTATATAATCAAATCAAGATGTAAAACAATATTCACTATAACCAAATACATATCCTTTAATAATAAAATTCCTTTTATGATACTGATCACACATCTTGAAAATTTTTACTGGGACTGGTAGAAATCTTGATGTGTAAAATTATCAACCTTCCAAAGAATTTAAGGTGGCTTCCTCACATGAAACAATTACTTAGATTGACTTGACACGTTGATCTTGCTTGCCATAAGTTTAAACAGCATTAATTTCAGTTGTATAATTTTCAGTGTGATCATACCATGTAAACATTCATCTTAATTATTACTTTTTCTATAGAAAAAGAATTATGAACTTAACAAATGGTGAGGCTTTTGGTAAAGAAACCAATAGAATCAAACAATTATTACCTCATCAAACACTCCACCAAAGCAGACGGCCCTATTATTGCTTACTGTAGCTAGAGATAGACCAGAACGAGGTGATGGCCTTGACCCTGATTGTTTAACATTGACCCACTTCCATTTTGTTGGTTGTGTCCCTTCTTTCACTTTTCCTTTAAGAAGAATATATTTATTATAAAAGAACCATGATTAATTGAATCTTAAATCATTGACTAATAAAAGCATTTAACAAAAAACGTTCAGATTTTAAATATAAAGAGGTTTCTAATGGAACAAATATGTTAAAAAACAATGAAACAAAATATAGATTAAATATATGCTTTTATACATATTACAATGTCCATTTTATGGTTGCTTGACAGCTTGGGTAGGGAGTTCAAACGCTATCTGTTTTTTAATCTATTCACTTTTTGTTTTGTTTTTTGCATTGTTTGTTGGGTTTCACATCGCACCAACTCTGTCATTAAGTGACTTTCCAGCTTTTACTGGTAGAGGAAGACGTCCGGTGTCCTTCCATGTATTTTTTCAGACACAAACGTGCACATTAGTATTATCATTATTGTTCCATAAGCTACCTGGATAGCTTTCTCAAATGAAAGAATTCGAAGACCCCATCAGGATTCGAACCCACAGCAGTGAGGGGCAAGTGGTTTGAATTCAACAACTTAAGAAATTGGCCGCAGTCGCCCTTCTAAATCAGTTAACAATGCGGTGACACCAGGTGAATTTAGGCGAGGCTTATCATCTAGTGGCTCATAAAAGTTTATCAATAATTAGTCTATATATTACACATACCTTCAGGCATTAGAGCAAACATGTCTGTATGAACTTTTCCAGCATCTACATCCTTCTTGATACGTTCTTTACTATATCCTCCATACACAATGATCCTCCCTTGGTCTAACGCTGGGGCCAGGACACAACCGGACCTTGGTGCAGGAGGAATTCCACTGGTCACTAAAGCTGTCCAAGTATAGGTGTCCAGGTTGAAGGCATATGCATCATTAAAATATTTGTAGTCTCTGAAATCAATGTGAAAATGAAATCTTTAGTCAATTTGAATATATATAATAATAATACATTGAAGTAGAGACAAACAGTTCTTGATAATTATTTCAAAAACTTTTCATAAAATTATTTTGTCAAATGTCATCCTTGGAAAAAAATGTAAGATTATCACCAATTAATTGAAAGCATATAGAAAATCCCACAATCTTTAACAAACAAAAATTTCAAAATCTGAACAGTTTCAATGGACAAAAGCAATGATAACATTTGGTCACAAGTATGTATATTATGCTAAGTGTCCTAAAAACTCTCTGAAATACCAAGAATGCGTATACTGACCTGATATTATCATGAAATCCACCAAACACTACAAGCTGCTTTTTACATTGCACCATCCTATGCCCACTTCTTGCTGATGGCCCACCAGGAGCACTGGAATAATATTGTATACATTAAATACTAGGAAAAGTTCATAACATTATTATTTACGTAACATATTAACAGAAAATTATTTTAGCATGTTTCATTTTAAAATGGGTCATTCAATCAGGACAAAAATGACCAAAAATGAAACAACAGATCATACACATTTTTTTTGTAATTTAAAGAAAACTAAAAATGTGTCATCATGCCACGGATGCCCCCGCATGCAGCCAAAATTTCAGATGGTGCATTAATTATTTTTTTCATTTTAAGTTCAAAGCCCTTAAAGCTTTTCAATGTTAACACAAACCATTTTCATACGATGTTCAAGGCACTGAAATTATTCAGTCTTAACCTTTTAAAAATAGCATATTGCATATTTGTAGCCAAAATAATGGCTAAAAGTATGAGTGCTGAAACTGAAAGTTCAAAAAATTTTCAACATTCAGGAAAGATAAGTTTGTCTAAAATCATTGAACCACAACCAAATTCAAACTTAAACTGCTTATTCCTAAGATGTATCTATATTATTTTCAAAGTGAAAGGGACATAACTCTGCCAAAAAAGCATCAAACCATGACCAAATTCCACTTGACCTGCCCATTCCTTTGACATATCCATATGTCAAATTTAAGTTGAATATGTAACACTGTTGGGTAGATAATGAACAGAAACTGTAAATTTCATATTATTCTCAAAGTGAAAGGGGCATTACTCTGCCAAAAATCATTGAACCATGACCAAATTCGAACTTGGCCTGGGCATTCCAAAAACATATCCATAATTATGTCAAATTTGAGTTGAATGTGTTGTACCATTGGGGAGATAATAAACGGAAACTGAAAATTTCATATTACTTTCAAAGTGAAAGGGGCATAACTCTGCCAAAAATCATTGAACCATGACCAAATTTGAACTTGACCTGCGCATTCCTTTGATGCATCCATATGCCAAGTTTGAGTTGAATGTGTTGTACCTTTGGGGAAATAATGAACGGAAACTGAAAATTTCATATTGTTTTTCAAAGTAAAAGGGGCATAACTCTGCCAAAAATCATCGACCAAATTCTAACTTGACCTGTATTTTTTTCATGACATATCCATATGTCAAGTTTGAGTTGAATGTGTTGTACCTTTGGGGAGATAATGAACGGAAACTGAAAATTTCATATTATTTTCAAAGTAAAAGGGGCATAACTCTGCCAAAAATCATTGAACCATGACCAAATTCTAACTTGACCTGTATTTTCTCATGACATATCCATATGTCAAGTTTGAGTTGAATGTGTTGTACCTTTGGGGAGATAATATACGGAAACTGAAATTTCATATTATTTTCGAAGTAAAAGGGGCATAACTCTGCCAAAAAACATCGAACCATGACCAAATTCGAACTTGACCTGTATTTTCTCATGACATATCCATATGTCAAATTTGAGTTGAATGTGTGCAACTGTTCTTAAGATAATGAACGGAAACTGATGATGACGCAATGACAGAATGACGGAACAGGGTAACACTATATGCCCCGTCCATTACATGGCGGGGGCATAATAAATGTATGAATACATAAACACAACATATATACATGATGTATCATATTTCAGCATTTCAAAAACAAACATGGCTTACTGCCATGATCCGGAGCTTAAACTACACCATACAACCCCCCCCCCCCCCCCCCCCCCCCCCCCCCCGGCTTCCGAAACATGTAAATAATCTTCAATCTATTTTTTTTACCTTTACCTAAATACCTTAAATGGATTTGTCCAGCTTTAAATCTCTACAAAACCATTCACAATTTTGAGGAAAAATAAAAAATCTTACAATATGTAGTGACGGAAAAGGGAACAGTGCAGACCATGATCAGAATGTGCGGTTGTGCTGGCTGATTTTGGCCAGCACCAGTCCCATGATTATATACAGTCCCCCCCACCCCCCAGTAGACTAAAGGTTGAATTTTTTTTTTATTTTATGCATAACCCAAAATTTATTGTGAAATATATTAGTCTTTATATTACCTCACTTTTTCCCATTTCTTTTCCTTCAGATGAAATAACCAGAGATCTTTATAATGGTAGAACTGTGACTGTGTAGGACTGGCAAATTCTCCACCAAATATCCACAACTGACCACCACCTTGCCTCAGAGCAACTGCCTTAATAAGAAAATAAATGATTCATCAAATGCATAATTGAATATATACTATTTAGTGCACAAAATTGCTACACAAGACTCAATTTATCTGTCTTTCCAAGTAATCACTCAGTTCTTTACTTTCAAGTAGTCCTCTCAAATACACCTTTCCTGTTTTTATTTATTTTTCTTTTGCAAGCGCTTATATTTTAAATTAACGTAAAGTTAAAAGATGGCAAATGTTACAACCAAAAAAATTGTGTATATAGGACAAATGTTATATACATGTACAACAATTTAAGCAATGCATTAAACAGGTTTGGTTTTAAAACTCTTGTTCTGTAAGTATTTAAAGCCCCAATTAAAGGCTGAATAAATCTTTATAAATATTATTCTGGCTAAATAAACATTTACAGATATTTATTTTACTGCAGTACAAGCTTCATACATTTAATTTTTTAACGAGTTTTATCTCAAATCTTAGGACTTTCATTGGTCAGTGTACATCCTGTGCCATTTTCTGACCAATCAAATCCCTCAGATCTGAGTTTGAGCTTAATAAGGTCTTTATAACCTCTGACCTGTGTAAAATAAGTGACTCAACTAACCTGATGTGAACTTCTAGGTGGGGGACAATTTGGTGCCGATATCTTCAGCCACTCATTCTTCTTTATGTTATAAATAAGTAGGTCATTGTACATGTACATCTGGGAAAAAAATGCATATTTTTTTTGTCACATAGTATGCCTGATTTTTATTGCTATTCATATATTTTTCAGCATAATGATTTACTACATTATATTTTAGTGTATAGGTCTACAATGGGCATATTTTCCATCATTATTACAAATATTGATAAAAACAATAGAAATGTTCCATTGGGTATTCTTTTGAAATGTTACTTGAAATTTTTACTACAAGACCTTCGAAGATCCTTACTCTTCTCTGGGGACAGATTGCTTTTGGTCACAAATATAACTAATGCAAAAGAATAACAGGTAAACTTGAAAAAGCCTAAAAAACACAAAGAAAACTAGAACAGACCTTATTTCCTGTAAAATATTCCCCACCAAACATGATCAATTCATCTCTATCGGGATGTGCAGTAAAAGACAAATTGCACCTGCAATCAAAATGGAGCAAATGTTATAAAATCTTCCGTGCATATCTCAAGATAGTTTGGCTAAGCCAAACATTATACAATGTTAATATTATGCATGCACCATGTGATATCAGTCTACTTAGTTATGATCAACATTCAAATGTTTCCGTGAGCAAGAAACTTTACACTCTTTGCTTTGTACTGATTGCTTCAAGGAACTGATTCGAGAGTGTCTCAATAAGCTTATGGCTTCCAACACAATCAAACTGAAATCAATTTGTATAAACCAAATGTTTTATAAAGACCAATTTAATCAGTAACAGTCCTAAGTCAGTATCATTCATATATCTAACCACTTTTACAGCTCCTAGTTATACCAGACCAAGTAGAGACTAAATATATTTGAAACTGACTTTCAACACTCTCTATGTGTACTGGTATTAATTTTAAGGTTTTTCAGCTTGTTATATCCTATTGAAGGTTTGATAGAACCAAAACCGGTAGAAAATAAATAACCTCAACCAGCATTAGTGCTGACCTATTGTATTTCTCCATTGTCATCTAATTGAGTTATTTCAAAATTGTAATTTCACTATTTTAAGCAAAACATTTATCACCTTGGTGAAGGCGGCAAACATTTCTCCTCAATCACCTGAGTTTTCTTCTTGTCTTGTTCTTGAAATTCCTTTATCATTTTCTCAATATCATCCTGAAAACAACAACATCACTTTCAACAGAACACTGATATTCTTCTACTTATTTTTATTATACATCATTATCAGTATTTCATTTTTAGCATTTAATATATTTGCATCTTTTTTTCTTAAAAAAAAAAAGCAATGATTAAACATATTTATTTTTAAGCTTGATTGTAAAACAAGTTCTTGCAACTTTTATTAATCACTTCAAGTGTGCTTCCTGGAACCAACATATGAAGAAACATGGTTGTGACCCGATTTGGGCTTAAATCCATGATCCCTGGGTTGAAAGGCTGGCACCTTAACCACTAGGCCACTGCTCCCCTTCAGCAATGATATTAAGACTTGGATTCACTGTACTATAAAATAAATAAAATCCATGAAAAAGGCTATACTTGTTTATCTCCCTTTAAAAAAGAAAATAACTTAACATCACTTACCTCCCCTATTTCTGCAAGTTCTTTCTTTACTCGTTTCTTGGCATTTTTTTCAGCCTTTTGTTTTGTCTTTTCTTTACCTTGACCTTTCTTCTCCTTTTTATTCTTTTTCCCCATGACCAAGCTTTACTTCTGTATTGATAAAATTTAGAATAAAATTCTTGAAACACTTTATAGATGTATCTGTTAATTAATATGACAATAATGCAATATATCAATTACTTAATCCCTTCTGAAAAAGATGACTTAAAACCTTATATCAGTCATGTTTCATGTATGAAACCAAAGACCATTTTTTTGTTTTGGGCTTTTGGACCTCAGTGTAGCTACTTTAACTTCAGATTTGCCATTTATTTTTCCTATTAAAACATTGTCATTCAAATTATTTTTTAGGAATACTAAGTGTCAAGTTATCGCCTGTACATCTGTAGTTACACCCTAAAAAATCAATATAGAAGCTATAAATTTACATGTGGTCTACGCGACCTTTGACAAGTGTGATTGAGGTTAATTTTTAAAAAATCTATAAATAGTAACCATCTTATTTAATTTAAAAAAATGTAATAACCTAAAAAATGATTACTGTTTACGATAGTTGTCTTTCTGAATCATTTTACCCAAGAGAAATGTGATATTTATGGATCATAAATTAGACCACATCAATACCCAGTTACAGGGAAATGACCGACCTCACTAAATGTTGGTTTTATGAAGAAAGTGTCTAACACTTCATATCATGGTATTGAAAAGGAATTGATAAACATGGCAAAATAGGAGAAAAATAATTATAATAAAATAATTCAAATTGAAATTTATTGTTTCAAGTTAAATACTAAAATCTGCAGCTTCTGACGAGTTGGTTTATTGATTTTTTACATTAACAAAGGCAATGTGGTAAGTTTCATCTTTGTATGATGACTTAGAAATTTTTGTAAAAAGTGAAAACTGAAAGTCATCAGACTGCCCTGAATTTTACCATAAGTTGCATTTAATCATATAAGCAGTTAGCTTATATTATTTAACCTGCAGTAATGAATATTGATACAACTTGTACTATTTTCATACTGTCTCTGAAAAATCAAAAAAATTACTGTGAGAGAATTATCAAAAATTTTACGGTTAGTCTTGTGTGTTACAATCAAGCTTGTTTAGCTGGGAGTTTGATCTTAAAATGTAACAAGCAATAGCACTGTTACATACATAGCACAATATGTTACATTTCAATTGTGACTGGTGTAAAAATACATTTTTTTGTTTATTGTAATGAGGGGTGCGTTTAGCAGCAGGATCCACATGCATTATAATGTTGATAAGAGTTATAAGCAGTGTTATAACAGGGTTGTTGATTAGTTAACTTGACTATTGCCAGAATCTGGGACGGAACATAACTTTCTGTCCCAGCCAGAATGGAGTCATATACTTCTGACTTAAAAAACTAGAACTATCACTAAATGTGATTAATACCCCCACAAGTCTGCTTCGGAAATGAGGATGTTACTAGTAACAGAATACCTTGTAATAGAATTGAAACATAGAGTTATGGTTGTGGGCAATTAAAGATAATTGTGGTTCATGTATGTTGCATTTCCTTTCAATGTGGTTGGCCATTGATGAAGTTTAATTGAATTACTCTGTAATAAGTCCAGAGAGACAAAGAAAAAGAACAAAGGGCAATAACTCTATAAATACTGAAGATAGAGTTATAGTTCTTGTACACTGCACTTCCTCTTATTGTGCTTGACCATTGTATGAAGTTGTTTTGAATTCCAACCAGAACGTTTTAAGTTATGCTCCGGACAAGGAAAAGTATCAAAGGGCAGTAACTCTGTATTTTGTCAAAATGGAGTTATGGCTCTTGTGCACTGCACTTCCTTTTAATGTCCTTGACAACTGTATGAAGTTGTACTGAATTTCAAACAGTAGTTTTCAAGTTATGCTCTGGACAAGGAAAAGTACCAAAGGGCAATAACTCTGTAATTAGTCAAGATGGAGTTATGGTTCTTGTGCACTGCACTTCCCCTTATTGTGCTTGGCCATTGTATGAAGTTGTTCTGAATTCCAACCAGTAGTTTTAAAGTCATGCTCTGGACAAGGACAAGAAACAAAGGGCAGTAACTCTGTAATAAGTCAAAATGGAGTTATGGTTCTTGTGCACTGCACTTCCTCTCAATGTGCTTGACCATTGTATGAAGTTATAATGAATTGCAACAATTAGTCTTCAAGTTATGGTCCGAACAAAAGAAAGCAATGGAAAAGTAATAAAGGGCAATAACTCTGTAATAACTTTAGATAGAGTTATGGTTCTTATGCACTGCACTTTCTCTCAATATGCTTGACCATTGTATGTAGTTATATTGAATTCCAACCATTAGTCTTCGAGTTATGGTCCGGACAAAAAAAAAGAAGGCAATGGAAAAGCAACAAAGGGCAATAACTCTGTAATTACTTTAGATAGAGTTATGGTTCTTGTGCACTGCACTTCCCCTTATTGTGTTTGACAATTGTATGAAGTTGTTTTGAATTCCAACCAGTAGTTTTCAAGTTATGCCACGGACAAGGAAAAGTAACAAAGGGCAATAACTCTGTAATTAGTCAAGACAGAGTTATGTTTCTTACGCACTGCACTTCCTCTCAATGTGCTTGACCATTGTATGTAGTTATATTGAATTCCAACCATTAGTCTTCAAGTTATGCTCCGGACAAGGAAAATGCAACGGACAAAAAAAAAAGCAATGGAAAAGCAACAAAGGGCAATAACTCTGTAATTACTTTAGATAGAGTTATGGTTCTTGTGCACTGCACTTCCCCTTATTGTGTTTGACAATTGTATGAAGTTGTTTTGAATTCCAACCAGTAGTTTTCAAGTTATGCCCCGGACAAGGAAAAGTAACAAAGGGCAATAACTCTGTAATTAGTCAAGATAGAGTTATGGTTCTTGTGCACTGCACTTCTCTCAATGTGCTTGACTATTGTATGTAGTTATATTGAATTCCAACCATTAGTTTTCAAGTTATGCTCCGGACAAGGAAAATGCAACGGACGTCTGGACCGACCGACCGACCGACCGACCACCGGGTGACTCCTATATACCCCCCCAAACTTCGTTTTTGGGGGTATAAAAATGGGTAGCAAGACACTTCACCCTCCAGACACTTCACTCCTCAAATTTAGAAGACACTTCACCCCTTAAGACACTTCACCCCCAAAAATCAGTAAGACACTTCACCCCTCATCCAATTCTTTTCTATAAAAAAAAGATACATGTAGGCAACCCTTGGCACAGGCACTTGGTCTAATGACCTCACCCTGCCACCATGACAAGATTATTGTGCTGCATTTCCAAATTACTTGACAAAAGTTCAATACAAACCGTTATTTCACTTATTTCTTCTTCAGTACAGTAATTTAAAGATTTCTAAACAACGTGCAACGTGCAATCATGGATAAAGGTAAAGGTTTTCCGCATGAGGCCGGGAGTAAAGCCTTTCTCAATTACGTACCATTCCGTGTCACAAAAAAGATTGAACACCACAAAATACATTCCCTCTATATTCTCTATATGAAGCATGCAAATATATAATTGATACTTATCTGAGCCCATATTCATTAAGACTGTAGGCCAACTTGAACATGTAAAGCACATAGCAAGGCAAAAAACTACAAGAGATAGACTCAAGAGCGGATTGATTAAGCTAAAGAAATCTGAATTCACTTTATATTTCACTTTTTTTATAAGCATAAAAGTCATATATGCAAACAAACAAAGAAAACACTATAATTATGCACACAAAAGAGAGTTGTTGTTGTTGTTTCTTGTGTGAATATTAGAGTTAATTGTTGATCTTTATCATCAACATTCTTGTAGTGTAACAAATACCATAAAATTCAAGTTTAGAAGGTAAGGATTGTAAGACCTTGTTAAACGCATATGAAAAGTCCAGAATTGCTATGTCATTTTAAGATGTCTTTTGAAATTGTCTGTTGTAAGAAGTAGCTGGTATTCACATGAACGCTTTTCACTGAATCATTTTAGTTCTCATGAAAGATATATTGAGAATTTAGATATTTCATTATGTTGGATATGACTATGTGTATATCATTTAAAAACAACAGCTAAAGCAATGGTCAATAGTGGGTTTAGAACAATCACCCTTTAATATTGGCACACCATTTGCAGAATCCCATCGACTGGAACAAGTCCATTGTTCAAAGAAAAAATAATCTAAAATTAAATATCTGATACCATTTCACAGTTTCTTTAAAGATTAATTATGAACATTTTGTCAGGTCCCGAAGCTTTCTTCTCAATAAAATGATTGATGCTGTCCAACACATTCATTTTCACTTAGTTTTGCCCTGAAAAGCCCTGATACAACATTTAAACTTTCCATACAGTATACATCTATTCAATTTCTTTCCTCCAGTGAAAAATCATTTAATATAAGAATTTCAATTGTGTACTTGTACTTCTAATTAGGCCTACATCACAGTAGATACAGAAGTCATCACATTTATTAAAATACACATAGCATGGATATTTAGCTATTTTGAAATTGTTCTTCCAGATTATGAAAGATATGAAGCTACAAATGAGTACTAACTACATGTATATATATATATATACTCGTACATATATAATTACCAATAAACAATTGCATAAAACATGATGCACATGATAGAAATCTCTAAAAGGACTGATTAAGATAAATGGTTTTGATCAAACTCACCGATGCGTGCCAATATTAAAATTCAACTACAAATCCAAAGCATTCAGAATGTATATGGAGCATGCCATTTTGTTTTATGGACAGCACCATTTTGATATCAGGAAGAAGAGGTAAACACAGTTACTAGTAGCAGACGACACAAAACAGTATAATTGTGATCATTGACCAAAAGAAGCAAAGTTTATAAAAAAGCAAATATGTTATTACTGATCACACATTGTATCTGGACTACAATATTAATGTCATTTTGCGTGTTTAAATAATTTCTTCGTTTTCTGTAAATACGTAGTGCTCCCCCTTTCTACATGATACTGATTAAGAGTAATCAAGCGTGAGTGAATGACCATATAGTTCTTCATTGTTAATGAATTTATCGGTTACGGCAATCAAGTCGGCATCATGTTTATCACTCCCAAGACGTTTCACATCTAGACGTTTCACTCCCAATTTGTAATTGTATGGACGTTTCACTCCTATTTCTTTTAAATGTTGATAACAATTAAGGAAAGTTAACAACTATTTTTGTTAGTAATATTTAGGGGAAATTAAATTTTATGTTTGATTTTATTGATATTGAGGGTATTTACCAACTCTTGATTATAGACGCCAACGTCGAGATATGATACAAGTTTTTTAAACTTCTCCACAAAATAGACGATTTTGACAATGAAAAGTTGTTCAAATTATCTGTTGCAAATCATTAAATCCGAGGACATATTAATAAATTAGAAAAGTTAAGACCACTAAAGGCAATAAGACAAAATTCCTTCGCTTATAGAGTCGTAAACGAATGGAACCTACTTCCCAGTGAAATAGTTTTATCCAAGAATGTAAATGAGTTCAAATCAAAATTAGATAAACACTGGCAGTGGAAAAGATTCAAACTTGACAATATTTATTGAATAGACCAATACCGGAGCGGACGACAAGAAAACAGAACTCGAGGGGAATGATAGTCCGTTAGGGGACTAATAAAGTTTCCCATACATCACAAGTGTTTATCACAAGTGTTTTGTTAATAATAATTAATGAATTTAAAGAAAAACAAATGAAATGTTACAGAATGTGTAAATAATATAATCTAAACAGTATAGTATCTGTTCAGAAAAGTGAATTTTGTTCTGTTTAAACAGTGTTTTGAATTATTCATGTTATTAGCTTTCAATGAGGACATATGATTAATTATTAGAAGATAACACATTTAATTATGGGTTGATGATGAGAGGTTTAAATGAAAGACAAATTTCTAGAATTTTATTTTTAACGACGTGAGAAAATTCTATTTTTATTAGGTAAAAAAGATAATAGAATAACATAAAAATGAAAATTTATTGAATATATTTATTATTTTTTGTAAGTCTAAAACTATGAAATGCAAAACAATGTGTATAGAATCTATTAGTCTTTTAGATTATTTCTTTATCAATTTATCAAACAGTAACCAATAAACAAACTTATGTAATTATGGTGTTAACAGTAATGTTGTCACCTTATTAGTTGTATAAACACTGAGACCATCAACTAACAGTATGACATCACTATTCAATCAGTTGTATAAACACTGCAATTTAGCATCAACAGTTTACTAATCATGCAGTTGTTCATTGGACTATCAAAATTTTTCCAGACAACAGCAACATATAAAAAAAGGTCTTCGCAACAAAAACTTCCCCAAAAGTTTTGTATTTAAAAAAATATGTATGTAAAAAGTAAAATAATATTTAATCAGATGATAAGATATAAATAAATTATACAAGATTATCCAATCAAGCAAAAAAAAAAAACTAAATAAACTTTAACAATTATAATGTACTGAGACAAAGTCAAATCCCCTTTAAGTTTTTAAATTATTTTTTTATTCAATTAAGGTATATTTCTAATGAATTTAGTGTTGTCCTAGAAGGAATTTTGGTATGCTAAAACTTGACATACTATAATAGTTCAAACTTATTTGATTAATGAAGTTACATAAAGCAATAAATTCATTTTTTTTGTTCCTACACATCAATAGACCCTTCTCAAATTATATGCATACCTGGAATTCCAGAACCAGAACGAGGTTTAAATGGCACGAATGTAAAAACACTGACCACTCTTATCTCACTATATAGCCACGATGTCGGGTGTTAATAAAGAAAAGTTCTTATTATCATTTTTGTGTGCCAATGTGCTATTCTGATGGTAAATATAATTTACCATATTCTAAAGGTTAAAGATTAAAAAAACACACAACAAATTATGGATGACTAACTTTCTAAGATAAGAAGGGATAAAGGGTCATTGTTAAAGGTAAGCACCTAAAAATAATATTTTGTAAACTTTGACCACTTTATGAACAGAATAATATTTTTGTAAAAATACAGATTTTGTATATTTAGAATAAAATAATGGGGGAACTGCTTGCTTTTAATCTAACAGTTATAACAATTTAAACTTGTAAATTGTAAATTATTATCAGTTCAAATTTATGTTACAAATAGAGGATTGAAGCTGACTAATAGTTATACCATATCACTCCTTATTATAAATATATGTTGTATATTTTAGGTCACTGAATCTACTGTGGTGTGTTCCAAACATTTTAAACTGAGGATTACAACTGGACTCCACTTAAAAATGGTTCTATTCCACCAGTGATTAATTTGGTTGAACAAACAACTCCAATTAAGAAGGCCACTTATATGAAAAATTCTTTCACCAAAGAAAATGCTCATTGATAGGTAATTTTTATGATAAAGTCACTGATTTAACACACATATTCATCATTTCATTTAAATACATATAATATAATGCTTATTTATGTTTAATAAATGTATTTGCTTTTAATATAGAAAAAAAAATCATTTAAATTCTCACTGATATTGAATAAATAATATGTTTTGGTAAAATATTATATATCTTTCAGCATTGTCTATAATGAAGATGAAGAAGATAATGCAACAAGTACCGATTGCCAACCATCTACATCTTATGGGTCTACAGAAACACAGGAAGAAAAATATATTTAAATGCTTCATGAGGCTTGAACTGGAGGAAAAGACCCTGCAACTCAGCTGAGTCTGTATTGAAATTACAAAGGAACATGCACACGTTCGCATTTGTGTCATTGTTACATGGATGCATGTCAGATGTTGAGATGTAATTGAATTTTTTGAAACTGGTGATGATGTGGTGGTTTTTATATGTATATTTAAATTGGTTTTCAATAAAAAAGGATAATAAAAACAATATAATATTAGGATTGAAGTATTAAAGTTTAGTCTTTATTAAAATTTTGAAATAAACAAGAAAATTCATTCTTTCTCTGTATTCTATGGCCTTTCCCTTAATTATATTGCTCAATGGTAGTATTGGAAGTACAAATTAAAATTCATAAAGTACATGTATACTTTATGAGTACATTGTATAGAATTTGGCTAGGCAGAAACTATAGTAAACGGTCTATATAACTGAGTCAATAAATGTTTGATATAATCCACCCAATACACATCTGATAAAGATTTACCACATGTCATTAGGGGCTTATCTGTAAGATTCAATTTGCAATTACCTTTATGTTGGCATCAAGAATCCATAAAAAACAGAACAACAAAGATTATATAATACAAGACACCACAGATTTATATCTATAAACCTTATATTATGTAAGGAAATATCTTTATGACAGCAAAATTGAAACCGAAAGTAAAAAAATCTCTTCTCTTACTCACCTCTTAAACCATAAATGGATACCTCATAAATATAATTGAATTCTTTATAGAGGGATTAACTTTGTCTTGATTAATATATAACTCTACAAATGAGAAATTAATTTTAGGAACCAAAGATAAGTCGATTTCATTGTATACACAGCTTATACTGGCTTATCAGCTTGCCAGTTATGCCTCGTTCTGGTTCATGTTCTAAAAATAGCTGTATAATATTAAGAATGGTCTATTGGCATGCCAAAGGAAAGTAACGTGCCAATGATTATCTAACGCACCTTTTGATTGCATAATTACCGTACAGAAAGATAAACGGGAATAACGGAGTATAGTCAAAATCACTACTGATTGGTTAAAAAAATAGAACCCGGATGTTCAGTCGGTTCCTGTAAAGTTCTGAATGGAAAATTATTTGAGGTCAAAACATGAATTTTAACCTGTTTTAACCAAATTGTCAGTGATTTTATCATCCCAAGTTTTTAAAATGGTGTGCAAAGATGATCTTTGTAGATGGTTTAAAAACTTAAGTCCGCACAAAAGGATAGATTATATGTGCGGAATGTTACAAATGTGTCTCCCTATGGAACTAAGATTCATAGGGTCGTATGTTGAAGATTTAGCAAAGAAGGATTTTCACCAATTGAGAGAATCTGAGGGTAAAGCAAACAATCGTCATGAACTGTCAAAATTTAGTGAAACAAATGGCAGAGTATTTAGAACTAAAATGGCAGTGTATTTAGCACTTATGCATTCATCAAACCGTAGTTGTTCCAATATAATTTTTAAATTGTTGGAAACACATGTTTGTGAGGCCTTAACTGTGATTGATTCTATGGATGCTTTGACTATTCACAGTATTCTCCTAGTGTTGTCAATGGCAATGAATCACCCGGCATTTACTTTTCATCAGAAATCAAGAATGTTTGATTATTACAGGGAAGCAAGTGAGGCAGCTGAAAGAATTATGAATAAGGTATTCATCATTTTACATTGTGTCACATAGAAGATAAGCATTTACACAACAGAGGATTTTTTGTTATGTCACAGAATTGAACTGTTCACTAATTATAAAGTGCTGGTCCGAAGGACCTGACCGCTAAAAATTTGTTCAGACCAGGAAAAAATATGCCTGAGCTGGTCCCAGTGTCGGTTAACAATCTAAAGAATTTACATTTAACTTATACTTTAATGATCTTTTAAATAACATTTGAAATTAAAATAAAGTATTATAAACTCAGTAATTATCAGTATTATGTGTACGAAACCAATAATTTTCTTGAATAAATTTTCCGTTACAAAGTAATTGGGATATAATATTGTACGGCACATGAACGAATATTTACTTGGGGTTGGGAAATTATTAGTTTTTTTCAAAGTGTTTGACGCTATATGGAGGTGCTCTGCCAGGTGCAAATGTTACCTAAATAGAAATTTAAAATATGTAGAGTGTGTTTATTTTGATACCAATTCAGTCCAGGAAAAACTGATTTGCCATTTTGGTCTAGTGATTAATCTAAGTTTGCCAGACCGAATGTCAATGTCCAGTAATGTCAATATACTTTTCAGAAGGTTTGGTATGTTAATCCAAGGGTGCCGGGTTCATGTCCTGGTTAGGCTCAACATTTTTCTAACCCTATGACATTTGGCACCCAACATGGGACAGTGATGGTTTATAGTTCCAATTTCACATTGTTTTCTTTTCCCCTTGCATATTTAAGGATGAATTTCATGACAGTGTATGTCACAGTATTGAACTGTTTACTAATAAGGGGAGATAGTGTGAGGTCAGTAGAGTTGCGGTACAGTTTTCCAAGGGTGCCTGAGTGCGAGTTCTGTCAGACTACAAATATATCTCACCCAGGGTTCTTCCTAGGACTTTACAACATTGAGTCCCTGGACTCCCAAGCCTGAAAAAGTTGGAGTCCAAAAGCACGTCCCCAGGCAAAATTAAGCATACGCGGAATCCTTGCTCTGAAATATTTGCGTCCAGCTGTAATTTATATAAACATGCGTACCGGGACGGGACGCCGAAATAAGCGTCCCCGAGAACCCCGTCACCCTGTGACATTTATATAGTAATTTTTTATTAGAAATTGTGAAGAAAACTTTCAAGATGTTCAATGCAACAGGATTTCACTTCAAAGATTTTTCAGCACCAATATTTTTTATGGCATAAAATTCCCATAACTACTTGTCACACTTGTGTGACAATTTGAGAACATTGTATAAATTTAACAAATATACCAGAACAAACATTTAATCTTATCATTTCTTAGGTTTTGATTTTTTAAAGGATGTTTTAAATGATAATTTTGAAGTGTTGGCGAATCATCACTAATCTGGAGTGAGTTGTATCTAAAGTAGGTTGAATCATTATCAATTCTTTTTTTAATGCCTAAACTTTTAAAGGTATCTCTGTTTTTTTTTGTATTAACAGTGTTTCTTGTATTATCGGGCATGCTTTTAATTGATGGTAGAGGTGCTTGGGGGTAAAAAAACGTTCAACATATCTGCTTTGTAGCGCTGATTTACCTGAGTCATTATTCAGATTAAAACGCAAGAAAACTTATTTTAGCTTACCTAATGCAAGGTGCTCAAAGGTTATCTTTTGTGATGGCAGTCACAGTGTTAGTTGATCATTATCCATAATTTCTTTAAACAACATTTCCTCCCAAACCACTAAGACTTGATGGATTTTGACTGAACTTTAGAGGAATGATCCTTCAGGGAAGTCCCAAGGCGCTTTTAGCGCATCGGCACCGATAAAATTGCAGAACAAGAAATCCCGATGCGCTTAAAATTATCATAGCGCTTTAAAAAATCACCGATATTCCTTTCTATTGTGTCTATAAGTTAACCCCAATTAGCCAAATAAACAAGCCAATATACATGTCCTGTGTAGATAATTACCCTAGGCGTATACACAACCCGATACACTGATTGCCTTTAGACTGTGTGACGTCACAGACACCTGTCATCGATGTCTGCAGACGACTGTTGGTGCACTTTCAGGTGTTGTCAATTACCGTGTATTGAGATGGGTGCAATTTAACCGCGGCATGTGTGATATTTACATGTTTCAGGTAGGTGTAATAACTTTTATTGTTTTGATAATATAATTGGCATTAATTGACATGCGATATAACAGTTTGATATTTAGGGATGAATGGGTTAATTGTCTTGATATAAGTGTAATGTTCAATTTCATCTTTCACTTTCTTATGATCGTTACGTCTAAGCAGTACTGTAGTATTAAGATTTCAAAAAATAATATGTCTAACATGAATAAGGGAAGCCTAGTTCACTATCAATTTTAAGAGTTTTTTTTGTGAGCAATGTCGTTGAAACTGTCTCAGGATCATTTTGCTTTTTAATATATACATGATAATCGTATTTTACTTGGATTAAACTGCATAGATATTCAGAAATAAATTTGGTTGATGGCTACTTTAACATTGAAAACATTTACGACTGTTCATTATCAACTTGCAACTGAGTGAAAACAACAACAAAAACTTTACATCAACAATCCCACTTAGTGACAGCCAATTGGTCATTTTCTTTTTTAATTAAAAATATCTTGTAATCTGTTTCTGTTCACTGAATCGCCAAAATGAAAAAAATATTAATTTTGCAGGCCCTCTTTAATTGAGCCAGTTCATGGACAGCTTTGTGAAGTGCAATCTACTGTCCTACCCCTTAGCATTGGTTTGTCAGGACATACAGGAGCTGGCCAGGCACTTTGGTGTAGATATGGAGCAGTGCCACAGCCATTGGCACCAGGTACATGCCAGTCTAGAGGGGATTGATCAGTCAGCCGACCAGACCATGACCTGGATTACTGGCAACCTTTCTACCAGTCATCCAGCTCTTTACAGAATTGCTGCTGTGGGTCTCCTCCTCCCAACCTCTACTGCAGGTAATTATTATTAAATTCATTCATTCTTGAACATTAATGAAATTCCAATGACAGTTGCAGATGTGTAACACTTTGCTAGAAGTTTTTCAACATTTCAAATATAAATTTTTTTACTTAGTTAAGTTTAAACAGGCTGGAAGTTTTAAATTTTCAAAAATTCACAGCAAACAAACAATATAAATAAAAGACATGAGGTTAACATAAATGATTACTTTCATTTATTAATTTCAGATTGTGAGCGAGGATTCAGCTGCCTGAAGAGAGTTAAGACTGAAAACAGGAATTGTCTCTCTGTTAAAGTTCTAAACTATCTTCTTGCCGTCTCCCTTCAAGGACCCCCATTAGAATCTTTCAACTTTGAGAAGGCAGTCAAGGCATGGAATGAGACAGGCCCACTTTTAATGATGTTAATGAAGAAAAAACAACTGAAATATATACTCATTTAAATGGGATACACACATACATATAAATGTTGATCACATGTTGTGAACTTGTGTTTATATTATTTGAATTGTTGGAAATGGAAAAAGTAAATAATAAAAATTAAGAAAATGTTTATCAAGTGAAAAGCTTTCATTATTTGTTTTAAAACAGCCCACAGCAGTATCTTGACACCTAAAATGGCAAAAATTTTCGACACGCGGTATGTGGGTCAAGACCTCCTCCCGCACCCACCCCCGTCTAATTAAAAAAATATAGCGCTTAAAAAAAATCCCCGGGAATTCCCTGTCCTTTAATATGTGGTCCTCTACTGTACAAAATTTATTTGAATGGTTTCAGACTTTAAAATTGAAATATTTCAATATCTTCTTCTTAGAAACTGAGCTTATATATTTGACATGTAGCATCACCTTGTGGATCTCTACAAAAATTACATAAATCATTGCCCAGGGACAGGGCTCCCAGTAGGGTCTGAATCTGGTGACAGGCCAAAATTTTCATGAGTCATTGATCAGATCTACATCAGTTTCTATGCATGCTCTGTTTTTTTTTACAAAATGTAATGTTTTATCTTTTAAACAGGGTGTTCACTATCCATGAAATCCTGAGGGTCATTTTGACTAAATTTTACCAACTACAAGTTCAAATCCCCATGATTTTAACAAATTTTGACCCTCCAGTTAAAATCCTGAAGGTCAAATCAGGCCTTTTGGAAATTTGAAGGGTGAGAGAGTCATTTCAAGGGTCAAATGGACACCCTGTTTTAAAGTATAATATATGGAAGAAATGGATATAATTAATTGTTCTTTTTCAGACTTATCTAAATAAAATAATAAATATGTTTGGACAATTTTTTATTTATTATGTCAGAGGAGTAGTACCTATTAGAAGAAAATTACAAATTTCATCACTAAGTCATATTAATTGTAATGTTTAACTTATACCATAATGGCTTTCCTCCCTTTAAGAATATATCATTAAAGTTAAAAAGTAAACAAATAGATCAGTTAAGTGGATTGACCAGATGGTGGACATGTCATTTAGTAGTAAAGTAGGTTGACCAAAGATGTTGAGTTTTTGATCTAGAGACATGTAAACCAAGGGATATCGTTAATAGACATCTTTGTAAAAGTTGTTTTAATTATCATGTAAATGACTTCTTTACTTTATCCAGCACATGGTCGCGAGATCAGAGATCTTTTGTAACCCCCTCATTGTCAAGGTCAGACACCCAACAATTATTGTTCAGAATGACCCAATAAAAATGATTTACCAAAACTTTTTAGGCAATACAGCTTTTGTGCACAATAGTGTCTGGCAACCTATTCCACTCTGGTACAACAACTAAATGTTTATGAAGTTTTCATTTGCATGATTTTACTTGAATTAAACTTTGACCTTGGGTCAATTAAGAAATGATTGGTTAGAATATTTAGCTGTAAATTTAGCATAAAAAAGATGGGTATGTCTTTTAAGGGCTAGCAATTTTTCAGTGTGGCTTGTAGATATTTTAAAAATAAAGTTTTAGTCTTTTAAGAGTACCCCGGTAGTAAATAGGACATTGTATATTTGTTTTTCTTGTCATGATTTTCGATAGATAAATAGTAAACACTCGTATTTGTATCAATCAATAGATAACAAGTTGACCTACATGTATAAACATTTTAAAAAGCCAATTTTGCTAAACTTATATTTATCTCCAGCAGAAATGTAAGCTTCATTTCAACTTTGTAAGGGTATTGCCATATATGTCTTTATGTGTGTCTGTAATTGTAAATGCTATTTATATAATAGTCAGTTTTCTTATCCAAAAAATAATATTTTCTTCAGCGACTTCAAAAAACTTTACTTTTAACAGGTGAAAAAATAAAAAGATATATTAATTTTATTTATAATTAATATCATAATTAATGAAAATATTTGCTTCGTTACAAAGGAAAGAAGCTTTCTCATGACTAAATAAGAGAAATACAAAAATGAAGTTAATGAACATGTAGTGTGTATATAAAGAATTACAACCTATATTATTTCACCTTTTCCTCTTATAAATAGTAATTTAAGGTGACTGATGAGTGTAATTTTCCTCAAGTATTTTCCAGTGTTTAAAAAACATTGTAAATATACATTGTATATCTATTGTTAATTAGAGAAAACTTTGAATCTTTTTTGGTCACTTATTTTTTTGTAATAGAAAGCCATTTGAAGAATTGTAACATATTTAACTTTTTTAAAAAAACAAACTAGAAAAAAACTGCATAGGCCTATGTTTTTAAGACTAAGATGGCTTTGTTACTGCCACCTGCTAGTTTGTTATACAATGTAGAAAGTTAGAAACTCTGAGAAAATCTCATTTGATGCATAGCTGTACATGCCTGCCAATAGATAGAGACAGGGCGAGAGAGTGAGAGAGTGTCTGCTGTTTACATGCCATCACATAATGTCTGTAAATCAGAATGATTGTCAATCAAAAACATATGTTTGTATAATTGTTAAGGTACAGTGATTAAAAAGAAAAGTAGGCTGAATTGATGACATACAATATCAGTTGAGCTGAACTTAATGTATGCATACCTGAAGGTTAATGTGAATATATCATGAAAACGACCTTGACATTGTTGATGTGACTAATGATAAAATACAAATCAAAGCTTTTCACTGTATTAAACACATTGTTATGCCTCCTGAAAAAAACAACCTGGGAACATACAGTGACTGCATAATACTTACATAGTTATGTTCCATTGTGCTTTCCTACAGTATGTCCTGCATTTATTTAAATGTATCTTCAATATTTAAGAAGGCACATACCTTGGACAGTCCTCTAACTTTGTTTGGAGCTTTAGGTTCCTGGGGTCAAGGTCACCAATGGTAATAATAATTTTCATACAGTAGTCTACTTTTGTCATATTTGGTAGCCATATACCTTGGGTGGTCCTGTAACATTTGGTGGACTAGTGTTTGGATTTACTGAGGTCAAGGTCACTGGTGCTAAAAATATATTTTTTTTACACTTTTGTTCATTCTGCCTTCATTAATTGATTGATACCTTTTCATACTTTACTTCTGGTTATCATTTCTTGTGTGGTATTCTAACTTATTTATCTTGGGTCAAGGTCAAGACTTTTGTGCGAAGGTAGTATTTTTCTTTTGCACATATGAAAGTCACAAATGTGCAGGTTATTGGGGAACTCATCGTCTTGTTTTTGCCACATTCAAGACTAGTCATGAAATCCTGAGGTTCATTTTGACTTAGTTTTACCAACTACAAGATTAGATCCCCATGATTTTAAGTTTAACAAAATTTGACCCTCCAGTTAAAATCCTAAGGGTCAAAATAGGCCTTTTGGAAATTTGAAGGGTCAAAAAGTCATTTCAAGGGTCACACGGACACCCTGCAGAACAATGATTGTCATGCCATGACAATAGGCAATATTTGGTAAAGAAAAATACGAAGAAGTGAGAATGCAGTATTTGATTTATTAGCTCTCTCTATCCATTTACTGTCTACTGAGAATAAAGTTATATTAAGCATTATTTGTGTGGTTAATAAAACATTTTGTATGTTGGGTAAATCTGCAGTAGATACAACTTCTGTTTTTGATATTATAAGAAAATATCACTTAAAAAAATAAATTTAGAGTTCAGTGTAGTAAAGACTCCACTGTGTTATTGAAATAAAAAAGAACTTTCTGTTGATAATGAAACCTAAACAATAATGACTTAATTCTTTGAAAGTCTCTCTAAAATCCAGGTGAAAACAACAACAATAAGTGATACTGATAGTGAAGTGCTAGTGACAGTGATTGACATGAAAGCATGGTCCTTGTTTTATTACAAAACAGAAATTAAGTGTTGTAATTATAATGAGGAAAGATATTACAAAGATAGAAAACTAGATCAACCTAGTTAAATTGACACAGTGAAGAGCATTTTAAGCCTTCTTTATTAAACTTCCAATTAACAATCCAATAGTTAGTGTTCCAGTTTATGGCTTTAAGATAAACAGAAGAAATTAAATCTGCATGAGTTATAGACATTATTGTATTTCAATATGGAACTGAGACCTGTAGAATTATCAAGAGATGTTATTTGATTTCCTGTCATGTGTGATTAGGTTCTGAACTATGTCCTCTTTTTTTCTGAATTTTTCCATTTTTTTTCCCATATAAATACAGACTTACATAGCCGAAGGTACAGATCATAGGTCCATAACTGCAGATAAAGTCATTCAGCTCATATTGAGAAGTAATTTAAGAGGCAGGTTTTGTCATGAAGGTCACACAAAAATCACACCATAGTTAAAATTGTCATGGTAATTGTAGTCAATTGACATAGAATATGTAATTGTAGTCAATTTACATAGAATATGGTACAAAATAGTTATAAAAACACTGAGTTTTTTGCGTGTGTTTGTTATTTCAGAATGTACCAGAGCCTGAGCTATTGATATTATCAGAGTCATGTGACTTGCGATCATGTGACCAGAGACTGTCACCTATGTGTTCTCCTCATGTACCTCAAATGCGTTTAATACCTAGTCCAGTAGTACCATTAACCTCACAGTATAGTCACAATCCAGCAACACAAGAAAAAGGTAAATATTCTAATCTCGTTTTCGTTTGAATGCTCAGTCATTTTGAGGGCCAAAATAAAGTCTAATTCTACTCAGCAAAAAGTATGTTTTTTCTCCTTTGGTTAAATATCCCCTTTTTTAAAAGTATTCATTAATTTCAATTCAAATGCATTCAGGTAATTGTCAATTATAATGAAAGTTTAAGGAAGTCCACTCAGTGCTGTGGGTTCAAGTCCTACAAGGGACCATGGATTCTTTTGTGTGAGGAAGCTGTCCAGTAAGCTTACAGGTGGTTTGGTTTGTGGTTCTTCTTTATTGTCAGCTTGTGCTTGAGAAATTGCAATTGAGGGCACCTGAGAACTTTCACCTGGAAATCTGGAATTTTACATATGAAACTCAACAATATTATTTATTTGTTTGACAAAAGTCAGAAACTTGTCTGATTGTTAAGTTGTTACTTTCTCACATGGTTGTTGTTTCATTGATTATAGTAAAGTAAAAGCGAATATTGTTTTTGTCATTTCTTCTTTAACCTTGATCATATTATCTTATTTCTATGAGCTAGAGTTCTTATTCTGTAACACTTCAGTGTTCTTCAACACATCTGTAAATACTTGAAAGCTTTATTTAGTTCTATTGAAACTGGAGACAAGTATTCCAATTTAGGAAATTTCACGGCAACTTTAATTATTAATAGTATGACACTTATTTGACAGTTATACAACTTATCAGAATCATATCTTGTTTTCTAATGTATATATTTGATTTTTGTTTCAGTATATGTTTGCAAGATAGACATGAAAGGTGTCAAACAGAGAGAACAAGAAACTATAGAGTATACTATTCAGGTACAACTTCATATATTCATTGATGTTCATTCATTCGTTGTTCCCTACCTGTATCTCAGAAAAATAAAAAAATGTTGACTGAATTTCATATTATAAATTAAAATACAACGTAGGTTGCTACAAGTTTCTTTTAAATTTCAAAGAAAACTTGAGAAACTTGTTCAAATATAATTCCTAGCCTCAGTTCTCAACTTTGTGATCTGACTGTTGTTTGATTTATTTTCTTATTTTAATGTTTTTTTTTTCTGGTATTGACTTCCTTAACCCATACCTTGTTTGAAAGACATGTCATCAAAATATTAAGATTGAGCAGTGAACAGTTTTCACTCAGATGTACCAATTTTGAATAAAAAACCCTGTTCACCCTAGTGACAATTTAGACAGTGTGTCACCTTTATTAATTTTTTCCTACCATACTTTTAGTTATTTAATACCAATTCAAACTTTCAATGCTTTGTTTCTTTTTAAATATATACTCGAAGATGTACCAATTTTGAATAAAAATGGGTGACACACTTAGTCTTAGTTGTCACTAGGGTGAACAGGGTTTTATATATATATATATATATATATTCTGAGTATATATTTAAAAAGAAAGCATTGAAAGTTTGAATTGGTATTAGGTAACTAACAGTATGGTAGGAAAAAATTAATAAATGAAAAAAATGTTTTGATGTTATCTGAAGTGTTGAAAATAATTACAGCCATTAACCTGCATAATGATTGAGAATGTAATAATTTGAAATAATAAATTATTAACTTGTTAAAACATTGATTTTTTCTAGGAGTACATTTTGTTGTCCTTTATGTATGCAAACTCTACATTAAAGTATATACTGTTATGAAACATACATAGTATATAATTTTTGGTGTCACAGTGAAATAGTAAACCTGATTCATGATTGAAGTGGCTAAAAATAACTTATTATTAAATTGCCTATTCATGTTGACTAATGCAGTGTTCAAACAAGAGGTGAAAGACTGTGACTGTTTAACTTAGGGAATATACATTAGCCCACTGGTACAGAATAGCAGACTGGAACAAAAGCCCACAAGGACAACAGACCACTTGTACAATGGACTCAAGGACAATTGCCCACTGGTCAAAAACCCTCTGCTTCATTTGGCAGGAAAGAATATAGTCCATTGTTTATCAAAAGTACTTTAGATATATCATATGGATATCCAGAGATGGGATGTGGAAGTGGTTTACAAGCCCAAACCCCTTGAGATTTGGATATCAAAATAACACTTTTTTAGTACAAATGATGAAAAAAACAACTTTGACTAGTGACCTCATCTTGAAAACTATTCTCTTGAGCTTTTGTTCTAAATGGCCATTGACCAATTGAGCTATTGTCCTAATGTGCCTAAGTAGATATGGAGGTTGGTAATGACCAGTGCATGACCCTAATTGATTTTTAGGTCAGAAGGTCAAAGATTGCTTTTTGCTTGCCCAACCAATAACAAGAAAAGCTTGCCAAGAAAATGCTTTGACCTACAGTCCTTAAATTTGGTGTGAAGGTTGGTCATGACTACAAGAAAAACTACTGATTTTGAGGTCAGTGGGTGAAAGGTGAAGGTCACTGGTGCCTTGGCTGAATAGTAACTAGAAAAGCTTTTGATTACTATCATTTGTAAGATTGTTATGACTAGTAGATGACACTTTGACATTGAAGAATTTCCCTACCAATAATAAAAAACATTCAAGCTTGGTCTGCAATTTTGAGATCAAGTGTGGATGTGGGTCATGACTAGGTGACCAAAGTTGATTTTAAGGTTAGTGGGTCAAAGGCCAAGGTCGCCATGCTCTAAGAACTAATCCGACCAGTAATGAGAGAACACTTCTCTACAGTACTAAGATTTGGTGTGGAGGTTGGTTATGATTTTGAGGTCAAGTTCTTCCTTTTGAGGTTAGTGGTCAAGGCCTTGTATATTTAAAGCATTTATGACCAATAACTATAGTATACCTTAGCCTACAGTCCTTAAATTAGGTGTGAAGGTTGATCATGAACAGAAGTTGACCATCATTAGTTCAAGGTCACACTAATGCATGAAATAATTATCTTATTAAGAACAAATTTTCATCAGTCATAGGTTTTTAACACTTAATTAAAAAAGTTAAAAAGTACATTGGAATTCATCTTTTATCTTTTTGCTACCTTATCTAAGTATTGATGCCAAAATAGGTTAATACATGTTGGTTTTGTATTTGTGTAGTTGTATTTTAAGAGATATAAGAGCTTTTATTTAATTCTTATTGATTGGTATTCTGACAGCTTAAGACAGCTAGGAGTTGCTGGTTAAATACTGTAACCTAATATTCTAGGAGAATAAAAAAAAACCCACAATATGTATGGCATGAAATGGGAAATTGACACAGCCATATATCTGAATTACCAAAGCTGTCACATGGAATCTAGTTAGATTGAAACATTTTATTTATATGTATGATAGAGGAAATATCTCATTTTCCTTCCCAATTCCTTAAATCCTATTAAAGTTAATGTGATCTTTGATTTAAACAAAGAAAATTACCATAAAGGAATATAGCACTGGCCAGTATTTACAGGATGAAATGGGTCTCCATGGTTACTGTTGCTAACATTGTGATATAAGAAAGCTGGTAAGGGGACTAACCCTTCCAGGAGGGTAGGGAATGTAGGGGAAAACATTTGTGATTTTATGGAACTTTGCATAGGTACAAGTTTTCAGGCATTTTGCCCGAAGTTTCTACTCATGAAAGCTCTCTTTTTCTATATAAAACCAACTGAAATAATACTGAATTCAGGATTTTCAGGTTTCCAGATATTTTTAACTTTCACCCATGTGAAAGTAACCTTTAAAGTCCAACCATTAAACTAATGAAAGGCAAGTATTTTTTCCACACCAAGGAGATATATTTGTTAATTTGTTACAGAAACTGTTGTTTGTATATTTGTGTTTTTGTTTATCTCAAGCACTTCCTGTTTCGGGATGATTGAATGAAATGTTTATTATTTCAAGAAATAACTTTGATGTCAAGACCTTACTTAAATTAGAATTGTTTCATTTATGTTAGAATAAAAAAACAACAACAACCCACTTGAGTAAATAATAAAAAAAATAAGGGAGAGAATACAGAAAGAAGTAACACTTTGACAGTATTTCATTCAGTAATGTACCAGATACATGTACATTTGTACTAACTTTACCTAAATTGTTTAAATGATTAATGACATTCATGATACATTGTAGCATGTTAGTTTTAACTTTAATTTAATTATTGCTGAATTGTTTTTTTCCTCTCTAGAGAGTAATTAAAAGAAAAGTGAAAATTAAAGCAAAATTGATAATGACACACTTATTTTAATATTGGTATTTTACATTTTGTTATAAAGTCAAAAGCATTGATTCAGTGCAAAGCATTATCAACGATATATCAATAATAGATGACAAATATCCATAATGTATTGATATCATATGACAAATATTGACACTATATCGATAATTATTTTTAAAAACTTGTCTATAATTATCTTTCATACCAGTTTAAAAAAAACAATTTCAGTAAAATACATGTTCTGTTCATACAATTTAGTATGAAGTGTATTGTATTGCATGATTTTTTGCTAATCATTTTTGTCATCACTGCTATGCCCTTTATGTAACAACATCATAGTGTAAGACATGGACACCTGCTTCTGTATTAGTTTTGGGTGATTTTTCAGAAGTACTAGACATTTAATTCATTACATAAAAATTATTGATTTCTTTTAAAGTTCATCGATTATTGATTGGTACCATTGGCAAGTCATTATTATCCCCTGCCAATAAAATTAGAAGTGGGATATTGAGATGGTCTTTTTAGTCTGTCCTTGAAGGCTTCTATCCGATTCTAATTGAACTTGGCATGAATATATATATAGATAATGAATAGAGGCTCACCAAAAATCATCAGAATCCACCCTATCCATGCATGCTTTAGTTTTGGCCCTTTATCACTTTTACTTGGTACTGCTCCATTTTGTGGACTTTGTGTTGTTTATATTTGCATAAGTGAAGATATCATTTTGTTTTCATTAATGTTGGTATATATCAAGTGATTTGTTTCATATGGTTCTGATATCATTTCAACAAAGTTACTCATTGCCTTAAGTGTCCTAAATACATATATTTTATAAACAGATGATTTATGAGTTATTTGTTTCAAGGGTAAGATTATATGTTATGATATTTTCTACTAAAGTTCAATTTCATATGATAGTGATTACTCATCATATATATTTTTTTGCCACTTATGTTTATATATTCATAAAAAAAAGTGTTCACATGACCATGTGTGTTGCTAACATACAACTTGTCAGTGATCTTTGACCAAACATTTAAAATGATCATAAACTGTAAAGTTGTGATAATTGATCTCATTTTTGTTGATAAGGATGCACCTATTGTGTGATTTCATCATTGACCTGTCATTGATAGTGTTCACATACCTCATTTTTTCTCACTGACCACTTATTTCTGGTGATTTTGTCACTGACCTTTCATTTATGATGATCACATACCTTCCTTTTCTTATTACCCTCTTATTTATGGTGATTCTGTCACTGACCTATCATTTATGATGATCACATACCTTCCCTCTTATTTATGGTGATCACACACCTCACTTTTCTCATTGACCTCTTATTTATGGGCCCCTTGTGGCTGAGGGGTTGCTTTTAATTGGATGAGACCCACCACTTATCCCTGCGTGATTGTTAGACTTAAGAGGGGACGAAATGGGTTCAAATAACTTGCAGTCAATGCATCTCTTAGCTGCAGCAAATGAGGTTTTTATCCCTGATGTTGCTTTAAGTTTGTAACTCCAGAGGTTAGCTAAAGTCATCTTTCCTGTGTCAGCACCATATAACCTTTACTGTGTCCGTGCACCATAAAACAAAACAAATCTTTTTTATGGTGATCATAGACCACATTTTTCTCACTTACCCCTCACTTATGGTGATCTCAGACCTAATTTTTCTCACTAACCCCTCATTTATGATAATCACATATCTCTTTTATCACTGACCTCTCACTTATGGTGGTCAAAGCCCTTTCTATTTACACTGATCTATATTATTCACAGTCCTCACTTTTCTCACTTATCTATAGTGATCACATACCCTGTCTTCTAACCTGTCACTTATGATGACCATAACCCTCTTTCATTTGAGTAATCTCTTATTTAAATGGGTTTGATGGCATTCATAAAAAGCAGGAAAAAAGCATATACATGTAAATGTAGGTGTCTTCTTTATTTTCAGGTTACTTGGTCAAATGGTGAGAAGAAGAATGTGTTCAAAACATATCAGGAATTAGTGGAGTTTCATAGAAAGGTAAATGAGATTTGACGAAATTTACTGTTTTAAACATTCATGATGTGATGAATGTGGAAAATATGGAAATCTTGTTGTTAGAATAGATGATATTTCAGTTGTCATGCGATTGTTTGGTACCAAGGGAGTTGATAATTCACAGGATCAGGAAATTCTCTTTCTTTGTAGATTTACCTTCTGCAGAAACTAAATGGAAAATTATGTAATTGTGAGATTTTAGACTTCAAAATGCTTAACTTGCACTGAATTTCAAATTAGATATATGGAACACTACCTAAATAAACATACATTATACTTACTCATTACTGAACAGATGTTAGCAATTAAGACTCCATTAAATATGTATGACAGTTTAATCTTCATTTATCAAAACTTTTATTTCAATTAGCAATTTTTAAGTGTAGATTTAATGGGTTTAAAATTTGTACACATCATTTGTTGCATATTTTTGTTGGATACAGAAAGTTCATTATAATACTTATAATAAGGACTCCTTGATAGTGAGTTTTCTGTATAAAGGGTTATATCGCGAACAACAGTTTATGTACAGTCATATAACCTGTCAAGAATTTTTATTATGAATTTATAATACAGCAAACTTCCTTTTGTAGAGGAAAAAAAAATCTTCAAAAATTTCAAAAACAGCAATCTTGTATATAAAACCATATCAACATTACAATTATCCAATGAGAAGTGACGTTACAAACTTGCTGTATTATAATATTCGTTATAAAGAGTTTTGACAGGTTATATGGCCCTTTATAAATGGTTGTTTGAGTATATTACCGGAGCTGCTAGGCGTAAAATGTTAACTAATATTAAAAAAAGAAATTGATAAAAATCGTTGAAAAAAAAATGTTGGTTTTCCATCATTACCTATAATAGTAGAGAAGTTGGCACATACTAGCATACAGTATAAAATATTGTCTCTTGAAGAATGAACGTCTTACCTACGAAATGTTATGAAACCAACTTTTCAATGTCTAAAAAAAAAAGAAATGATAAAAAAAATATTGTAGGTTATTACAAATTATAATATTGTACCTGAAACAGTTCAGCGAGGGACACAGCATCTTTGTTTTCCTGTAACATTAATAGGAAAAGAAAAAGTATTATCAAGAATTTTTCTTAAAATGAATGTGGTGTGTTTAATAGAATAAATCTGGTATCTGTGCTCAGTTGCACACTGTTGTTCTTATTTATGAGGTTTTTCCATTGCTTAAATCTGCAGTTTGCTGAGGTAATAATGTTAAGACATGATTTGTTATGCCATACATTATCACTATGTCATGATTGTTTTTTGTTTATTTTGGTAGAGAGATATATATCTAGATGTAGCATAGACTTCTCCGTGCTGAATTGTAATAAGCTTTAATGGGATTTCCTAATTATACCCCCGCACAACAAAGTTGTAAGGGGGGTATACTGGAATCAGCTTGTCCGTCCGTCCGTCCGGCTGTCGGTTTTTTCTTGTCCGCCCAATAACTTAAGATTCCTTTGACCCTTAGTCTTCATATTTGGCATGGAGGTTAGTCATGATTAGTAGATGACCCCTATTGATTTTGAGGTCACTAGGTCAAAGGTCAAGGTCACAGGGGCCTTGACTTCAAAAAGCTTGTCCGCCCAATAACTTAAGTTTCCTTTGACCTACAGTCGTCATATTTGGCATGGAGATTAGTCATGATTAGTAGATGACCCCTATTGATTTTGAGGTCACCAGGTCAAAGGTCAAGGTCACAGGGGCCTTGACTTCAAAAAGCCATGGATAGTAGATGACCCCTATTGATTTTGAGGTCACCAGGTCAAAGGTCAAGGTCACAGGGGCCTTGACTTCAAAAAGCTTGTCCGCCCAATAACTTAAGATTCCTTTGACCCATAGTCTTCATATTTGGCAGTGAGGTTAGTCATGATTTGTAGATGACCCCTATTGATTTTGAGGTCACCAGGTCAAAGGTCAAGGTCACAGGGGCCTTGACTTCAAAAAAGCTTGTCCGCCCAATAACTTAAGATTCCTTTGACCCTTAGTCTTCATATTTGGCATGGAGGTTAGTCATGATTAGTAGATGACCCCTATTGATTTTGAGGTCACTAGGTCAAAGGTCAAGGTCACAGGGGCCTTGACTTCAAAAAGCTTATCCGCCCAATAACTTAAGATTCCTTTGACCTACAGTCGTCATATTTGGCATGGAGATTAGTCATGATTAGTAGATGACCCCTATTGATTTTGAGGTCACCAGGTCAAAGGTCAAGGTCACAGGGGCCTTGACTTCAAAAAGCCATGGATAGTAGATGACCCCTTTTGATTTTGAGGTCACCAGGTCAAAGGTCAAGGTCACAGGGGCCTTGACTTCAAAAAGCTTGTCCGCCCAATAACTTAAGATTCCTTTGACCCATAGTCTTCATATTTGGCAGTGAGGTTAGTCATGATTTGTAGATGACCCCTATTGATTTTGAGGTCACCAGGTCAAAGGTCAAGGTCACAGGGGCCTTGACTTCAAAAAAGCTTGTCTGCCCAATAACTTAAGATTCCTTTGACCCACAGTCTTCATATTTGGAATGGAGGTTAGTCATGATTAGTAGATGACCCCTATTGATTTTGAGGTCACCAGGTCAAAGGTCAAGGTCACAGGGACTTTGACTTCAAAAAGTTTGTCTGCCCAATAACTTTAGATTCCTTTGACCTACAGTCTTCATATTTGGCATGGATGTTGATCATGATTAGTAGATGACCCCTTTTGATTTTGAGGTCACTAGATCAAAGGTCAAGGTCATAGGGACTTTGACTTCAAAAAGTTTGTCCACCCATTAACTTAAGATTCCTTTGACCCACAGTCTTCATATTTGGCATGGATGTTGATCATGACTATAAGGTGACCCCTATTGATTTTGAGGTCACTGGGTCAAAGGTCAAGGTCACAGGGACTTTGACAAAAAAAAAAGCTTTTCTTCTCAATTGCTAAAGAATGTCCTGTCCGCAATGTATTGATTTTGACATTTTCACATTTGAAGCATGTAGAATACATAACATAGCAATGCACTGGCTTAGTAACCTCAGATTTGGCAGGGAGGTTGTCCTTGAGCTCTAAATGGCCACTGTTGATTCTGACAAAGTGGTATGCGGGGGTATTCACGCCATGAGAGTGGCAGTTCTAGTTAAAAAAATCATGACCTAGTGAGCATGAATGATGTGTTTTCAGTGTGATTTTCATATTGTAAAGAATTAAAAATATTTCAATGAAATAAATAATTTCATATGTTAGTTGATTAAGGCAAAGGTCATGGAAATCTTCTCTTCATAATATGCTGAATACCTCTTTAACTTGAGGTAGATAATGATTTTGTCTCTCTTGCTTTTTGTGATCGTAATTAAAATTGATGCAAATCTCTTATTTATCAAGCTTGGCAAGCTTCTGTTATAATTCCTTTAGTATTTTTTATTTCATATGAAAAACACATTCTAGTAAATTTTGTTCAAAATGCATCAGGTAGTTAAGGAATATGATGACAAACAAGACACACTGCCATCATGAAAGTTCATCTCTGAGCCAGTGTTCAATCTAGAACAAATTCCCAGGGGGCCCTTCGGGCCCATAAACTTTTCAAAAGGGGGTCATTTTAGAAAAAAGGGGGCCCACACTTAAAATGAACATCAAATTCAAAAAAGCTATTGTATCTTTTAAGTTACTTGTTCACGTACCATATTTAGACCAAAAACGGTTGCAAAATTCAAAAACAACTCAACTAAAAAAATGACATTAGCGTTGATACAGGCTCAAATTTAAGAACTGATTGGTAAAGAAACGCGATGACATAATGTTCAAAGAAAAATATGAATCTTATTTTATTGTTACCAGGGATATTTGACAATAATGTTCAGTTTTTTAATCAGCGCCCGATATATAAAGGAAAATCAATCTTTGAAATTAGCTTTGTTTATGAAGAATATAAACTTACAATAGTCGCTAAAAACATTTACTCTTCTCAATATATCCAAGCGAAAAACAAAGTGTCAACAGGTGCTAAGACAATGTATATTGACATACCGGTACCTTTGATCTTTTGTCAGGGCAGCAGTTCTTACGTCACGCTTAAGATGTCTGTATTGATTAATGATATGCACAATGTTTTAGCGCCGACCAGCCAAAGACCAATCAAAGTTAATTTACTTAATTGTCAGACACTCCCTAGCCAATCGTGTTTGATTGCTCCATCTTTAAGACATTTTTAATTGGATGAAGGCGTGTTCGTATTAATTTATGCACACTTCTCTATAATTAACTCGCATTTTCACATACATATATATTTTTTTTTCCTTTGGAAAGTTATTACATATTTATTTGTTTTGACCGTGAAAAAACTATATCCGTGAAAAAACTATAACTACACGCACGTATTGGATTATCTGTGACGATTTGTTTTGCTTATAAAAACTGTGACTCAAAAGTAAGTAATAGTTACGGTACGAACAGGTCTACATAGTATTTACAGACGCGGACCGAGAGAGCGTAGCGATAAAGGTTTTAAATGGGTTACCGAGTGCGGTAAACTATCTTACCAACATGCTCTTGTTTTTCAATACAAACTTCAGTATTGAATTCAGTATTTATTAATATTATTCACAAGAAACTTCTTTTATGTACTTAATTAGGTTTAAGAAAGCATTCTAATGTCATTTAGGGCATTTTCTATGAGTGCGCCCATCGGGCCCACAGTTGATTTTGTTTTGCGCCGGCGGCCTTTTCAGGGGGTCAATGGCGCGCTCTAGATTGAACACTGTGAGCACTTAAAATGCTAAGGTGAACTAAAAAGTTATTAATTATGCTTGCACCATCAGACTATGGGATACAAAATGTCTATACTTTGAGCAGTTAGTTGCAAAAACAGAAATTGAAAATCGTTTATTAGTTCAATTCTTGGCATGATTTGAGTGAAAAGCGTTGCAACACTTTTCATTTTCAGGTCATTTTGTACTATAGGAATGATTATTCTGGGGGAAAAAAAACAGGTTGAGGGGAATGAATAATGATTTGAAATTTGCACACCTACACACTGTTCAGACCTATATCTAATGGTGCAAATATTTCGGAAAATTATTTCCAGTCCCAGTCATTTCAAAAAAAGTGGAGTGGTGTCCCTTTGAAAATAATATCATTTAAAACTGAAACATTCGAATTTATGCATTGCAATTAAGCATATACATAATTATGTACTGGTAAATAATCAAAGCAAAAAGGGGAAATACATGATTTATTTTGCATGTGTAATAACTATTTATATACTGTTGCACAATATGTACCTAGAATACTGTAGATTGAACTTCCTTAATTGAGGTAAAAGTCACATGTTTCCAGCATATGATGCAGAAATGGGAAAAAAAATGATGGAAAATAGCTTTAGATATGTATAACAGTTAAACATGTGAATAAACAGAAGTATCAGGGCTTTTATTACTCACTTCAGCTGATACTTTGTGAAAATTATTTTCACTACATGACATTCGAATATCATGTTTCTTTAATGCCGTTCTGTTAGGCTCATAGGGAAGACTTGGCTAGCCAAGCAGTGTTGCCTCATTTAATAAAGTTGTTACTGACTTACTGACTGACTGACATACTTAAATATTTCAGTTGATAAGTACATTTGAAGATAGACTGTCTCATGAAGAAACTATAAAGCTACCAATACTTAAAGGTAAGTTAAGCTGTTATAACATCTTTAGCCTGACTATTTGAAGAATAATGAGAAGTATTGTACTCGCCCAAGTGTCAATGTCGGGGTTACACCTTTTTGGTGAACTTTTTGTGTGCATGTTGCTATCTCTAAAACTACTGAAGGGAATTAGTTGAAACTTCACACACTTATATGAGAGCATAATAGGAGGTCACATTCGAAGGCCTGTAGCCCTAACTTTGATTTTGACAGAATTATTGCACTTTTTGATCCCGAAAAATTCTACATTGTCCTGGCTCTTGTTTTGCTATAAAGCTCTGAGAACTGTCTAGCACCCTGTCCTGCTGACAGGTCTTGTTATAATAAATATAGCAATTTGAACTGGTGTCTGAAATTACAGATTTCTTTGACACATGTATTATATTATTAGACTTGTGTTAAGTAATTCATGTCTTTAAATAGAATACTAAAATATTAAGCACTTTTAATTACATATTGATAATTTCACAGTTTAATGTATCTGTTATTTCACAGTAGAGAGATTGTATTCAGATGTGCAAAAATAGCATTTATTTTAGATGAATAGAAATTTCAATAGAAATACATTAAATCTGAGCAACATGAATAAAATATATAATTTCAAACAAACATTATAAGCATTTACAATTGTTAAATCATGTTGACTTTTTTGCATTGATGTAGCTGGCCTTGCATGATTTTATATGATTTCGTTTGAACCTGTCAACATCACAAATTTGTGGTATATGGTGAGAAATAAATTTCTTTGAATCACAGGTACGCAGAACCATAGAATCGAGAACCAGGAAGTACTTAGCCAGTATGTATCGTCACTATCCAACTTACCCGAGCACATACGACAGAGTAACTTCTTTACGTTGTTCTTCGAGAATGCGATGCAAAGGCCAGTAGAGATGACCGATGCATGTACTAGTCCCCGCCCACCTGTATTAGCCAATGTACCTGTTGTACAGCGATTACCAAACTCAGGAGGTAAGACTTTTTTGTTGAAAATGCCAAAAAAAAAATTTGTTAGATTTTCATGATTGACCAGAGAAGTAAGGTACTTTTTTGTTAAAATTGCCAAAAAGAAATTTATCGGAATTTCACTCTTTTATTCAATAAATTGTACAGTGAAGTTAGGTACTTTTTAGGTACTTTTTAAACAGTATTTGAAAATATGATGTCACTAGTTTTCACACAGTTATTTGTCCATGACTACATCAAATAGTTCACAAATCTAAAAAAAATATTTCCAGTCCCTTTGTGTCAAAACCTCTGACAATGGGGTCAGTTTAAAGTGTTGTGTTTGACAAACAAAACAAAATACTTTATACGGTTATTCAACGAGGATTTGATTATTGTTGTTTCAGATGAAGATGCTGTGATAGACCAGACATATGTTGGTCAGCCACCTTCTCAAAATGTATACACCCCATATCTCTCACAGTCACCTATTAATGGTAAGACTCTTGCTTTAACCATTACCCTGCTGGAACCAAAAATATATTATATACCATTGTGACCTGTATAAAGCCTGGCGATCCTGTTCATCAGTGCAGTCAGGCCTTAAGCTATATATACTGTTGGCTTATTAACTTTTAAATCTCTAAAATTGATGATGAACAGTTTGACAAGTCCAATTTAATATATTCAATAGGTTGAAGGTTAAATACTGATAGTGAATCTTTTACTATCTGAATTTTATCTATAACTATGCCTCTATAATACCACTGTTATACCAGCTTGTAGACATGTTCAGTCTGACCAGGATCTGTACTGTTTGTGTTGGATGCTTAGCTCAAGGATTTAGATATTGTTGATAATGTTATTCTCGTATTACCACTTTTCTAGCTGAATGGACTTGTCCATCTTTTGATTTGGACAAAACCATTCATCATTTTTAGGGAAAATTTCAATATATGTACTGACTGAATAGCCATAAATACAATGATCAGACAGCAGGAATATGCCAGCTGATCTTGATCTGCACTAGTGGCATGGGTACATTCTGTAGCCGCTATCAGTCTAAGGGTAAAAATTAAACTCTTTAAAAATACAAAACAGAGCAGGTTCATATCTTATGATTTAATACGGGTAAAAGCTTGTACAAAAAAAACCCTCGTAAACCATTTGATAAAAGTATATCTGATTGGTCATTATATTAACATAAGGTTTCAATTTTAAAATTGTTATTAAGATAATAATACATCTATTAAGTACTTGCAGAAAAGCTGATCTTTTGTGTAGAAATTAAACAGAATTTTGAATTATTAACTTCACTTTATAATGTTTATCCTCCTGTGGTGGAAAGAAACAATAAGTTTCTTACGGATAGAATTTCTATGTAAGGATGAATCAAGTTGTCAGAGGCAGATATTTGATTAAAATGTTATGCTAGACATAAAATTTTATTTTAAAGTTGAAGAGTAATCGAACAAGTCATTGTGAGTGTTTTAACAAAATGATTTTGCACATTCTTACGTTTTTAGTCATATTGCCAGAAAAAAGCTTATGTTGTCTATTGAATTATTATTTTAAGTTATACTGTATTCAAAGAAAGAGTTTTACTATAATTTTTTAGGTGACATGTGTAGTACATTGTATATTGTATTCATAAAGAGAGTTTTACTATATTTTTTCAGGGGACATGTGTAATCTATCTCCCAATAGTCCATCTCATCATGAAATAGCTTACCAGGCTGCTGCTGCTCTCAGGTTAGTTACATTTTTTTACTGATATTCTTTCTTGTTTGTATGTGCATTTAATTAATATACTTATGAAAAATTGCTGAATGAGTGTCCTTGGACTTTTGTGTCAATACTTACTAATTTAGCTCAACTGTTTCAAAGAAAAAGTCAAATTATTATGATCACTGCATAGTCGTTGTCGTGGTCATATGAATTCCATTATTCAAACATTAACAAAAGTATCAACTACTTGCTTGCTTATGAAAAGGTGCAGTTGTTAGATAAGGGGCTTTAATTCTGAAAACTATATTTTATAGTTATGCCCCTTTTTAACTAATAATTTTTGTTCAAAAATCGGCTCTATGGTTAAAGGGAACATAAACCAATTGTCTCTAACTACTGTAGGTTTGAGCCCCACTAGTGTCTTCAGATTCTTCATGTGAGGAAGCTATCCAGGCTAACTTCAGGAATGTCAGTCGTTCTACTCGGGTCCCCGCTTGTGCCTGAAATAATGTAAAGCGGGGCACCCTAGGTGTTCCCCACCAGTAAAGCTGGAAAGTTGCTATGTAATCTATTCTTCATTGGTGTGATGTTAAACCAATAAAAAACCCAAAAAACGAAACATTCTTTACAATGTTATTTTATATTTCAAGGATAAGTTCAAAGATGTCAGATTTTTTCATTCATTCATGTTTTGTTTTCTCATTTCAGTCCCATGCTCGGCCAAAACAAAATCTCCACTTATTACTCCCTTGCCACTCTCCTGTTTTCCTCCATGGAATCTCCAGGCAAACAGTGTGGCCTGGTTCCCCTTCTTACATGATAGAGATGAAAATAGTCGGCAAGCAAATAGCAATGAGGGTACCAGACTTCTTATTTCTGAAGGGGGCACCAGTCTACATAATTCAGACAGACAAGACGGTTCCAGGCTGGAAAGCACAGAGGCTATGGGCCAAAAGGCTCAAATTCAAGAGGAAATGCAGTGTTACAAATTTACTGAAGTTTAATAACCTAGCAAAAACCATGCTTGAAGAAGTTCCTTGCTACACATTGGAACAGGTAAATCTTTCATTGATCATGGAACATTTAATGTATAGTGTATGTTTTTTACCAAACAAATGGCAATAGATTGTTTTAAGTGATGAATTAAAAGGTAAATTTTAGTTTAGTCATAGTTTAGCTTGAATATGATGGAAGTTTGAAGCCTAATTGGGCCACTTTCTTGTCTTCTTTCTATTTTAAGATTTGTCTCATTCCTGATTTATATGAAAGTAAGTTATCAGCAAGTATGTCTGTTTCATTCTTATAGATAAGTGCTGGCACAGAAATTTATCTTATTTGTTGCTGACATAGTAATCTTGTTTCTTTTGAGGTAAAATATTTAAGGTAATTGCAGGTCCAGTCTAGGAGGAATGAAGACCTATAGCAAGATGGATGTGCCAAAACATGATATTAGGTGCAATAAGAGCAGTAGTGCTGGACAAAAACTCGGCGGTAATGCTAAAACCAAGTTATTCTTAAATGAAAAAGTTGATATTTCATTCCCCAATGGTATCTCACTTGTAAAAATTTTTAAAGTGGATTTAGAAAAAAGTTTTATTATGTTGTTTATGAGTTTATGACTACATTTTGGACATTTGGTTTCATTT